GGCAGGCAGAGAGAGAGAGAGTGAGAGTGAGAGTGAGAGAGTGAGAGTGAGAGAGAGAGAGGCAGGACAGGGAAGGTGTACGAGTCGCACAGATAGATCTTCTCTGTGTACTTTGTATCCCCATGCCCATGCCCATCCCCTCCCCTCCCCTCCCCTCTCCAATTACCTCTATTGCCTCCCCTCCTTCCCCTCCAATTACCTCCCCTCCCTCCCGGGGCCCCCCCACAGAATCGTCAAGTCTACGCGCACTCGTTTTATCCTTTTAAGCCTCAGCCACCTTTGTGCTGCTTCACTTCAATTCCCACCCACACATTGTTTCTGTCTCTGTTCCTGTCTCTCTGTCTCAGTCTTACTGTCTCATTTATCTTTTTTTTGTCCTCCTTCTCTTGCTAACTGTGTCTGAAGCAACCACCACTATACCATCGTGTACATCAACCACCAATTGTCTCGGTATCTCGAAATACTTGCGCAGATCGTCCTTTTCACGCCAATTCTTGTCTGTTTCGCCCACCCACCGCACAGACTCAAAATTCTTCTGTGACGGCCCAGCTGCTGCTAGAACCCAGTACGGAACGTCGATCTAGCATATTGTCTTGGCCAAACCCGACAAATCTGCCCCGGCGAGCAAGCCTGTCCGCGTAGAGCTTCCACAAGCCAGCAGTATCGCGGTACGCCCGACTCTTGAGAGCACCTTGAGAACACCAATTGATCCAAATCCCACACTGCCAACATGATGGATACATACTACGGCCACGTACGGACACCTGCGGATGCCATCAAGCTCTTCGAAGCTTGCCGTCTCGGTCTACTGCCCCGAGTCCAACGAAGACTTTCGGAGAAGGAGAGACAATCTATAAAGTCCGGCTCTGTGTTTGTTTGGGATGAGCGGGAGGCAGGAATGAGGAGATGGACAGATGGGAAATCATGGAGCGCTAGTAGAGTATCTGGTAGCTTCCTCACATACCGGGAGATGGAGGGCAAGAGGGGAGGCGGATCTTTTGCACAAACACCTATTCGACGACAAAATGGAAAGACACCAGACAGTGGAAGGGGCAGCGACGAGGACCAAGATATGGACGGAGAGGGACCAGATGGGTACAGATACAAGCCAGACGGGTTGATGAAGCAGTCTTTCAGCATCACCACATCGACTGGGCAACACCTGCATCTCATCAGCTACTATTCTCGACCTCACCCCAACTCGCCAGAGCTCCCACAACCAACTAGTGATCCCCAGCTTCGGCACATTGTGCCAGTTCAGGGAATGTATCCGGAATCAACTGTACACGAAGCTCAAGGGCCCGCAGTCACCAGAGCACCAATGCAACCCCAACATCACCAGCAAAATCCGTACATGCAATCACCACACATGCAACAACCATCTCCAGGTCACAGAGGTCAAGCCTACCAGTACCCTGTGTCCCAAGGTTACGCGTGGCCTCCATCGCCAATGTCAACGCCACCCTTTGCCCAATATTCTGCCCCTATGTACGGCTCATCACTTCCACCTCCACCCCCTGGATCCGCTCATAACTCACCATATCAGCACCATAAACACAGCCCTCATCAATCGAATGGTATGCCTTTACAGCAAACTGTGTACGATAGACCTCCGCCACAAATGTCTGACTCCTCTCTCCCTCCACCACCTCCTCCACCCGGACACCGAGGCATGAGCACGGCGACTGCAATCAATACAATGCCATCATACCAACCAAATCCAAGTCCTCAAATTGCCTCGGCAAGATTGGTTGCGGAGCAACAAGCTCAGATTGCTCAGCGTGCTTTGAGTGCAGGTGCGCCCTTGATCGATCCTCGCATTACAGGCGAGCAATCATTTCCACACGCCCAAATGAACGCTGCCCAACGGACTTCGACGCCACCTCAAAATGGCAACACGTCGCGAACCAACACTCCCACATCATCAGGTGATTCGCCACGGGATACTACTCCCAAGCTAAATGGGACAGCACAGGCACAGAGCATTCCTAGTATTTCAAGCTTGGTTCACGCTACTGATTCCGTGAGCGTCATGACCGATAACAAGAGCAACAGCAGCCGCGCTGGAAGCAAGAGTCCAAAAGAGGGTGGCGACAACCAAAAGCCAAAGGACATTCCGCATGATAAGTTGAACATCATTGGCGAAGACAAGAGAGCTATTCGAGTTTTAGACCGCAAGTTCTACATTTGAAGATTGTCAAAACCGTAGTATGGGGTTTTATTGTTTAGCAAGTTGAGATGGCGTATGAGGCGAATGACATGGGATAGAGGCAAGGAGTCTTATACCCATAATGCATGATTTATTTTCTCTTTGTAAAAAGTACAATCTTGTTTTACAGCAGAGCGGGCATAGGCATGGACATGGGCATGGGGGAGTACACTGGCATTTCTGGGAGCTTTGCATTGCGTCTGGCGTTTTTGTGGGAAGGGAACAGGTTCAAGAGGCTTCTTACCCTTTAGATTCTAGATGTCAAGGAAAGGAAATGGCAATAGTCTCAACACAACAAGATATTTCAAGATAGCCGTTTTGTTTCGTATATTTAATCTTTATGATTATAATCTTTGCAAACCTAGAATTGCATCTATCGCCGAGTAATTCGATGGATACAGTACATACACGGTATAACTTATACCCAATTCACAATCCACTAACAAGCAAGCTCAAGCTCAAACTCCAACCCTGCGCCTACCTACCTGCCTACCTGCCTGCGTGGCTGCACATGTCATGTCATACCATGTCGTTAAATCCTTCAGGGGCGGGGCGGAGAAGTGCTACTGCTTCTGCTGCATCCTTTAATGGTAAGTAAATAGGTAGGTAGGTAGGTACTGTAAGATGAGCTTACGGAGTACATTAGTGGGCGCTGTGCGGTGGGTGTAGTGCGACACCTCGTAAAAGCCAGCCAGTATACTAAGGTAATGATTTAATTTCATAGGATTGGATGGGATTGGATATAAGGTTCGTTTTATAACGTCAGCTACGGCGTGGGTCCAGTCGGATGCGAAGGCGAAGGAAATGGTGAGTGATATTGTGGTGGGTTGCGGTGCGGTGCGGTTTCAGGGAGCGAAAGATAGATGGATAGATATGTGGTCATACGGCACTATGGGGAGTGCAGTGTAGTGTAGTTTATAACAGCAAGAGATATCGGTCCCCCTACATGTATGTCCTTACTGTATATAGGTATGGTATGTAAGTCGTCTTGGAGGGATTTCGCTTTCGGGTCTTTTATCCTATTCGAATGGTGTTGGTAGGGTTGATGGGATGGGGTTGACATAAGCATCAAGTAAGTGAGCGAGTACTAAGTAGAGGGAAAAAGATGGGAATGAGTGAATGAATGAGTGAGTATATGAGTGAGTAAATAAATGATGGTACTGTATAGTACAGTACGTTGGAAAATGGACTTTACCTTTATTTCTGCCTACCTACTGTACTGTACTGTATCTGCCATAATGAAGCTTCCGCTTCCCATCCTTTCTCCCTAGCCATTTGGATGGATGGATTTGGCTGACCGCACAAACGATGCATGCACAACATACATACGGAGGAGGAGGATCGTATCGTATTGTATCGTATATTAAGCATATAGTAAGTAAGTCGCCTAGGACAGGCAGGACCAAACACCACACGTTCTGGACTTTTAGGCTGAGCATGGCATGGCATTTCGATTCTGGTTTCTTGTGTCTCTTCTGATTGATGTTGGGGCTGCTTCTGCTACAGAACGCGTATACTACTGTACTATACGCCGCATGTTGGAAATCCTACTCCTATACCATGTAATGTATGCATGCATGCCGAGGTGCTTACCCGCTGCAGACAAGTTTAATTCCAAGGCGAGTCAAGTCAAGTCACGGACAAAGCACTGCTAGGCTAGGGTCCTCTTAATCTTGACATACGTATGTATGTATGTATGTATGTGTCGATTCTGAAATCCTACCTTGATTCCAATGCTACAGTACCAGATCTCCCGCGGGGAGCTGGGAGCGGGGAGCCGGATGCAACAAGGCAGATTTAGACGGAGTAGAGTACCACTCTACTGTAGGTAGGTAGGTATATTAAGTTCCAACATGTACTGTATCAACCTTGCTTATATTTGTAAAGTACTCGTACAGCCCTATTACAACCAATCTTGAAATGTTGGTAACTTCACCACACCGCGTAAGCGCAGCGCAGCGCAGGCATCAAACAATTCAACCCCGCTTCCCATCCAATCCTGTCCCATCCCATCTCACCTATCAATTAGCCTTAAATGCAACCACACCGCAGGCACAGAAAGACAGACAGACAAACAAAATAAGCGCCGGCCGTGCTCGAGCAAGACGTATGTTTATACATGTGCGATTCGTAATTTATACCGAGTAGACTCTGCATATACCGTACCGTACTGTATACCATACCTAGTACAGTACAGCACCATTGTACCGGAGGTAAATCCGCTGCCTTGGCCTGGGCTGCGGATGCAGGTCGGAGGATTTTCTGTTTAGGTGCGTGCGTGCGTGCGTGCGGCGCGGAGCGAACCTTTTCCTGGCTCGCGGAGGAGGGAGGTACAGTCAGTACTGCAGAGTTCTACCGAGAGAGAAGTTGGTGGCGTTGATTTTATTCTGCTGCAGGGAATGTGGATAGTTCGGGGTTATTCTTTTGGTTTTGGGCAATGTCGCTCGGGTTGGTGTTTTGATCATGTGGCGACTGCTACTGCCACTGCTACTGGATTCGTGAGATGCAGTTGGAATTGAGTTGGGAATTGGCTTCTCTATATCTGTAGAGGGGGTGTGGAGATACTGTGGTACTGCTGTACGTACCGACCTCGGTTATGTGGTGGTGGCAGGTGGATGGTGGGGTTGATTTGTTTCATGTTTCAGGCGGGGTGTGGTGGTGGCAGTGTATGTGCTTGGTAAGAATGTTCATATATAGATATGAGAGCTCTGAACTGTTGGCAATGGCCATATTGGGGTAGGACAGCGTGGTCACTTCGTATAGACAATTTGCATGTTGGTTTTCCGTGTCGGAGCATGTCTAGTCTTCCATAAACGGAAGGGAATTAGGGCATGACGGGTGATGATCGGTGCCGGTGGTAGTGTGATTCGATGGTGACCGGTGCTGCACGAGAATGAAGCAATACAACAAGAACGAGGCAGACTTGTTCCATGCCAGTGGTAGTACCGTTTCGTCCTCATAATACAAGAATGGATAAGGAAAGATATTCTAGGCAACGACTAACAGGATGACAGAATTTCTGGTCTTGATACAGCGTCACAACAGTTGGACGCAGAAGGAATCATCTAACAGTCGCAGCGTCCAACCCATCTGGGAAATGTCACTATTTCCCTGATATTCTGCACACCTGACAGATACCCCAACAGTCGATCAAATCCTAGACCGAATCCGCCATGCGGCACACTACCCCACCGTCTTAGGTCTACGTACCACTTCAGTTCACCCTAAATAAGACCGCATAGTTAGCATTACTGACTTGGGAAGTGTCAAGGGCTTTTGGGGCTAGGAGACTTGGTAGTCATCCGGATATCGAGCATAACTTCACCAACAGAAAGGAATGCATTGCTGTCTAGGCACTTACAAGTTGCTCATCTGTAATTGACGATACCGGCCCAGGAGGGAGCATACCCTTCTCCTGCATGGAATGAAGTAGAGGCTCCAGCCGATGCTCACGCATCGAACCACCAACGACTTCGCAGACCTCGGGCAACAAGAGATCAAAACAATCAACAGTTTCTTGGCCAGGGCTGGCTTGCTCATTCGTAGGAGATGAAAGCATATAAAACGGCTTGATTGACTTTGGGTACTTGGTCACGAATACTGGTGAGCCTTGACCTACTGTCTCAGCTAGATATCTTTCATGTTCGGCTTGCAACCCCAGGCCCCAGGTTGGAGCATGCTCGAATGGTTGTACATCCGAAGGCCTAGCTTGAAGATACTTTATGGCTTCGGTATAAGTGATTCGAGGCCAAGGACCAGATATAATACTTTCCCATCGGTTGTGAATCATCGAACCGCGCCCTTTCTCATCGTGTGGCCCACTAGAAGCTCTGTGAGATTCTATTTCCCCTAACAGCGGTGACAGCATGAGCTTGTAGGTCATGTACTTGATCATGTCCTCAATCACATCCATCACGCGATTCATGTCCTCTATGAAGCTCATTTCGGCTTCTAGCATGTAGAATTCACTCAAATGGCGCGCAGTATCACTCTTCTCGGCCCGAAAGGTAGGCGAAAGCGTCCATACTTTGCCTACAGACTGTGCCAAAGCTTCCAGATGCAACTGACTGGAGACGGTGAGGTACTTGGGTGACTTGAAAAAGGTTCCATTGTCCTTGTCCCCCACCGAGCCTGTATACGAACTTCCTACATTGAACACTTCGCCTGCCCCCTCACAGTCTGACGAGGTGATCATCGGAGTGTGGGTCTGTATGAAGTCTCTGTGACTGAAATATGTAGTGATATGTGCTATGCACTCGGATCGTAGTCGAAGCAAGGTAGTGTTGAAGGGTATGCGGGTCCGCATGTGTGGCATGGTACGCAGGTACTCGGGGGTGTGATATTTCTTTTGTAATGGAAATGTCTGGTATCTCCATCTCAGCTTGGCTCTCCGGTATATTTCAAGTATCTCAACAACAGTCCTTACGTACGGATGGATCAGAGGCTCCGAGAATGTCTACCCCCACTACATGAAGTTCGTGGCTTTGCGCCTTTGGATTCGGGGAAGGCTGCCACGACCCGGTCAGCCGGACTGCTGTTCCGGTGGAGAGACTATTGATGGAAGGATCAGTATGCAATCCTGTTTTTTCTTTCTTTTTTTCTTTTTTTCTGTAGGAGTCAGACCTTTTGGCTTGTGCTGGCGTAAGGAGGGCTTGCAGGGGCTCCAGACTTGAGCCATCGCCAATGGAAGCAAAAGCCCTCTGTTTCTGAGACCGCAGGGACCTGATAAACCCATTTACAACGACATTGCTAGGATCCGGGGGCCCGGTAGCGAGTAGGCGTGCAACGGAGGGTGGGAGAGGTGTATCAAGGCCAGATGAAAAGTTCCTGCGCCCGTTTCTGGAGTGGTTGAGTGCCAATTTGATACACTGTGAGAGCCTGGGTTGTACCATTGTACTCTGGTCTATCGATACGCCCGCCAGAAGAGGAAAGAAGGGTCCTGGAGGTCAGCAGCGGAAGGAGAGTTTGCGGTGGTGGAAGAGGGGGATTTGTCGTGGTGGTGGTGGAGGTGGTTGTGTTCAATGTTGTACGGTATTGAGTGTACTCGCATAGTACGGTAGGTAGGAGTAGGAGGTACCTAGGTACCTAGGTATCCGTACTATACCAGGTACTATACCATGTACCTTAAACAAGGTTTTGTTTCGTACCTAGGTAGTTTGGGACGCGCTAGCGCGCTAAAGAAAATATACGCGACGCCACTACGACCCGACCTGCCATGCTTCTCATTCTTTTTCATGCTCACTCACTCACCTTCAGCCTCACTTTCATAGCCCTACCTACTTGCCACTTGACATGACAATGTATTTCTGACTTGTCATTTATCATTTCGCAAGAGATCTGAGATGAGATCTGCTTTGAATCTGTCAATCTGTCAATCGGTCAATCAACCCTGTTGCATATCTTCTTTCTGTTGGGAATTGCCCTACATCTGGACATCTGGACCCCCCTTGGGCCTTCCCCCCCCCCTTCCCTTCCTTGCCCTCTCTATTACGTACCTACCGGTAGGTTGCAGGACTGTTCAGTACTCTCATTTGACTCCCTCGTGTTGCGTTTCTTGCTTCCTTTTCCACTTGACAAATTGCTCAAGCATGTTCCTCCCTTTTCAGAGTACATCCGCAAGGCTCACCGCCTCTATACGAGCCAAATATTGGGAGTAATGTAATCTCGGGCCATCGACTTCCTTTTCTGTACGATGTTCGACCTCCCGCCACTTGCCAGATATTTCTTTTTCAATTGCTTCACGATCATGTAGGACCCCAGCATTGATCCATGGAACCCCCCCCCCCTCCCCCCAAAGTCTTCTGTTACACACGTCTCCTCCCTTCTACACATAGACTTGCAGGTGACAGATCTTACTCGCCAATCTGAGTATTACCAGTTCGCGGTGCACAATGAGATCTTGGGATCCGGGATGTTGCATGACTTTCTCCTTCCTTCATACCGGGGGCCATAAGCCTTTGAAACCATTCGCTCTCGGGACGTTCGAGGTTACAAGCCTTGTCCTGACAAGTGCAATGGGACGTCCCAGTGAAGTATTGGTGTACTTCTGGTGGGGTTTGTGTCGACCGGGGGAACACTTCCAGAGTCCGAGAACCGGCTCATTGGAATCGAATCGGCACATTGTCTTACTTTCGCCGCACAATGACCCCCTTTGAACGAATGTTCCGTTGAGCAAGGCATGTTATTGGCAAAACGTAGCTTCTTATTCCACTTTCTCTGCGTTTCTCCATCCACACTCACGTATATAATGAGCACCCAGGTCCATCGAATCCATGGTATCAGGTCTCAAGTCAGTCATACCTTCTTTCAAGCTCAGCAGATACACTAGCCATTCTTCTTTCTCTTCGAAACCATCATGCCTCCATCAAAGCCAAAGCCTTCAGAGATCGCAGCAGAGGCTAAGAGGACATATATTCCCTACATTCGACAAAACTTCAGTGAGATATGGCCATCAACATCCTTCCTATGCTACTCCGAATCTATGTGTGCCCAACCATCGGGCCACTTAGATCGTCAAGCTCGTTTTGGTATGTTATCAGTCAAAAATCTAAGTCGATATCCCCTAATCTTATTTCCAGCTTTCTATGACGACGACCCTGTTGATCTCGCTCTCAAATGGAATGCTGGAGAGAAAAAGGCAATCGCTCCTATTATCATGCCGGCAAACGATAAAAGACCGGGGGGAGATTGGGAAGCAGGCAAGCTTTTGTGAACGCCCTAACTAATGCAGAATTAACGAAACTTAGGAGTCATGTCTCCAGAGGAGTGTCTCTGCAGACGCAGCAACCTAGTTGCAACACTCACAACGCCAGCGGAAGGTAACTCTTCCTCATCCAACTATCCGATCCCGTCAAAAGCCGGAATTTACTCTGGGAATGTCGGTAAGTCTTAACACGTTCTACCAACAGCTTCATGGTAACTTCTAACCGGTACTAGTGATCTTTCGAAATGGCCCTAACAATTATGAAGCTTGGGATGAATACCAAAGTATGCCTTGACCCATTTTCCTCCTAGTCACTTACTAAATCCTTCAGCTGTTCCTGTCATCTCAGTTTGTCCAGTCAAGCGGCCAAAATTGGATACTTCAGGGAAGAAATACTCGTTCAAGCAAGAAAAGGAGGTCATGCGAGACAAGATCCGCACGGTACTCAGAATCGCCATCTACTACGGCTATTGCAACCTCGTCATCGGAACTTTTGGCCTTGGTCCTGGGTTTCGAAATCCACCTGAAGAAGTCGCATCAATGTGGCGAGATGCTTTCCTTAAAGATCCCGAATTCCGGAACCATTTCCAAGATGTCGTCTTCGCCTTCCAAAACCCAGAGGGTCCTAATGCACCCAGCTCAAGCTCCTCCAAATCCTCATCTAAGTCTTCTAAGAGCTCATCTGCTTCCAAAAGCACGGCGTCATCTGATTTGGAGATTTTCAGGCATGTATTCAAGCCAGCCAATATCCATGGAGCCTTCAAGTGAAGCCCAAATGTATTCTAAGGTTCTTAGCATACCGGCGTAATCTTCTCATTGATTGAGTCTAGGAAATGAAATTAGGAGGCGTTTGTTTTCAGATAGAGTTTAGATAGATTGCATAGGGAAACTCTATAGGGGCGCTAGGAGGGCTGCAAAAAAATTATTCCCGTTCGCAGCTTGGTTTTGCTTGCCTGGATATGTTTTCCTTACTTTTCAGATCAGTTCTAATGCCACATAATTATTGACCTCCTCTCTTCATGTTGTCGCTGAAGTGAGCCTCTACATTATCGAGATATACCTGCCGGCAGATCTCATGCAAGAAGGCATGATACGTCCGTTTATTTCTATCTAGCAGCATACCGCTCAAATCTCTGTATCACCCACACTTCGTCACACCGCCGTACTACAGAAGTCTGCACGACCAACCCATTCCACAACGTCGGCGAGGTCTAGTCTCAAGCCACTGCCCATCCTCATCATGCACTTCCCCATCCGAGCTCCTAACGCCCTTCGCTTGAGGGCCATCGTACAATCTGTGCGCAGCCACATCACGCCACGGCTAAGACAGCGGATAACGATCTGCAGTCAGCCCTGGATATTGTCCGGCAGAAGCTCCGATCTTGATCTGATTGGAAAGTTGCATGGGACTCGGGTTCGGGTAGGACCACACCGGTACCTTTGCAGGTGTTGGTGTCGGCTTCCGTCAGGTGCATTGCCGATCTGCTGTGCTTCTGTGACTCAAGTAAGGAGGTTATTTCTAAAGTAAGTGGTGGGATGTGACCTGAGCTAGAGACTGGCAGTTTTGATTCTTGAACATCAACTTACACCGATACTTGAACGTTGCAGATTCTGATTCTTCATGATACAAAGCAGTTGAACGTTGATTAAACCCGAGAGTCGTCTTCAAAGGTATCTATATGGCAGATCCCAGAAAGTTTTCATTTCCGCCAGTTGGACGTTGAAGTAAGCAAATATCTCCAAAGCGACGTACACGTGACCCATTAAAAAAAGGGGCAAGGGGCGAGATCAATTCCTCTTCAACGGCATGAGTCACCACGCTGGTAACATGTGTTGATATGATCCTGATCAATCACCTGGTAGGTGGTGAATCAGCCACCAAATGATCGCTCATCTACGAGCTATCATGAAATTAGACTCAAATGCCGATAACTGTCCGTACTATCTGAGACTTTTGACGAAGATTCTGCATGCTCACCAACAAACTCTCCAACAGACCCACTGACAACATGCTCTCAACATCGTCATCGTCAGAGATTCCACGACTCCACATTCATGAATACGCCTTGTGTAGCCAATGCAAATACGAGCAGCAGCTCGATGACTGCAATGGTATGCTGCAAGTGCTTATCGAGGTCCATCCCCTGCTTGCTAGCAGAGAAATAATGTTTCAAGGAAGATGGAAAGACTTGGCCATTGCCGGGCTGGAGAATGAACTTTAAATAGTGATATGATATCCAAATCATACTCCCCTGGTTATACTTTGCGGACGAGATATCGATAAAGAATAGAAGACGATATTTTCTATACACATTTCGGATTCTTTTACTTGTTTTATATGATGTCTCTCGTTCTTTGTGGACAATTGGGTGCCATCGAGTAGACTTGCTGAGGCTTGAAGAAATATTCACAGCATACCCGGGACGTTGTAGCGCGTGCTGGACAGTGCAAGGCAGGGTTGGTAGGGAAAATTGCTCGGGGGAAATTTCAAGCCGAACGGGACTTCTTGGCCGATTATAGAGTCACATGTTAGGAGCTGTCTGCAAGGTTAGGAATGCTTGGTGATTGAAGGATGCTTCCGTAGATGAAGGGTTTGAAATGGTAAAATGAGGTGCTGGCACCTAAGAATTCAAAGTAAGACGATACTATTCAGCAATGCATGCTTATAGCACGTTAGAATTCAATGTCTAAGAAAAGCGTCCTAGCACTGCAGGCCTTTTGAAGCTAAACTAGCCATTGGAACGACACTCTTACGAGTAGGGATAGCGCCTACAACAAAATTGGAGTAGTTTGAGAAGGTTGAAGTATATAGTATAATGTTGGTATGATAGGATGATGAGCTATTCAAGAATCATTCAACTAGCTTTCCCATACCAGCGATGTAAGATTACCATTGTGTAACTTTCTCGGAATCCGGCTTTAGGTTCAATTCCAACACCTGTAACAGGAAACTGAATACTGCAGAAATATCAGTGTCTCGAAGCGAATGGAAACGCTTTTCGTGCATATATAAACCTAACTTGGGATTGGAAAGGTCCGTACTTGATTAGGTAACAATTGAGAGGCTTTCTAGAATAGGTAATTCTGGATACCTGACGCACGAATAGCATCATAAGAGGCTGGAAGAGAGGAATGGTAAACTGGCATCAAGTGTCACTAAAGCGGAAGTATAAGTGACCCTTGACGACGAGTTGATAAAGACTTGATGAGCAGGGATGAATACGCCGTTATGTGCACTTGGCTATGCTCACTGAATGCATCTAGTAAGTTCGAGTCCTGCAGAAACAGATTTGTCAGATTCAAGGCAACAATGGCATTCGAGTCCACTCAAACAAAGCATTGGTCCATAGTATTCCTGAGGGGAGATACACCTAGACGCAGCCTGTAATGGTAACTGTTCTTTGCTAGGGGGCTATAAACTACACATTGTTGGATACGAGTAGAGGTTAGTGCGGAATGGATAAAATCATTTCAATTGGTCGACAGCACAGCTACTACAGCTAGTGCTTCCGAGTGGCATGGACCGCAAGTGCAGCACAGGCAAAGTGCTACGATATATTAGAAATCAGAGAGGATTGAATAAAAGACAGGAGAGACAGAATGTTTCTCTATATAAGGCTTTGCCATCTTTCAGTTACTTCTAGTTTCTCGTTGTACCACTTACACTCCAAAGTTCCACGAATCATTTCCTGAAAGCTACTGTCTATCACTAGACTCACCAAACAAACCCATATATTATTTTGCGTTCCTTGAAGACATCATGACTAAAGCACTTCACCTCATCTTCGGCGGAACTAGGGTGGGCAATACAGGTTGGAATGGCGTCCCGCCTGAGGATGCAACCGATGAGGCAGCTCTCCAAATCTTTGAAATTCTCAAGAAAAACCACGTTAAAATCATCGACACTGCGCGCGGATATGGGAACTCAGAGGCAGCGCTTGGTCGCTTGAAAGCGGGTACGGAGCATGGCTTCCTCATCGACACCAAATGGTTCGGCGGCACGTTCGATCCGACAAGCACAACCAAAGACCGCATCATCTCCGACGCAAAAGATTCCCTTGCTAAACTGGGAATACCCAAGGTTCACACTTTCTCTTTGCACTCACCAGACGTGAAGCCAGAGATCGAGGAAACGCTTGTCGCCATCGATGAAGTCTATAAGCTCGGGGTTTTTGAGAACTTTGGCTTGAGCAACTTCAGCGCTGCCCAGGTACAACAGGTGTATGATATTTGTAAAGCCAAAGGGTTGGTCCTACCCACAGTGTACCAGGGCCTCTACAGTCCTGTGAATCGTAACGCGGAAGACGAACTTCTGCCGATACTTCGAAAGTTGGGCATTACTTTCAATGCGTACAGTCCACTTGCGGGTGGCTTCTTGACCAACACCAAGTCTCACATCTTGAACGGCGAAGGCAGATTCGCCAAAGAACATTTTGGAGGCTTGTACGGTGAGATGTACAATAATGAACCGTACATGGAAGCGCATGAAGAATGGGGGAAAATTGCAGATGATGAAGGAGTGACACGGGCAGCACTTGCTTATCGATGGGTAAACTATCACGGCGCCTTGAAAGCCGAGTTTGGAGATGGAATTGTGCTTGGAGGACGTTTGTCTCAAATGAAGCAGACATTTGATGCTATTGATCAGGGCCCGTTGAGTAAGAAGACTACTGAGAGCATCGAGAAACTTTGGGAAAAGCTCAAGCCTTCTGTGAAATATGCCGACAATTTCGCGGCCAACATGGCAGTCAGATCACGTTCTTGAGGGGGAGTATGTGTTTGAATTTAGGAGGACATCTGGGTTTTCCACAAGTGCAAATACAGTCGTTCTTGCAAGATAGATCGATATTTCAACCAGCTACACATTTGACTGTGATACTGTCTTGCAACCTAATCTCCTCGTTCGCAAACACCAAGTAATTTCCATGATCTTGCGAGGTCTTGCCAGACCCCCTCATCCTTGATGCTCCAAGGTCTGAATGTGCAGAAGTAGTCTGCGTCCCTTTATCCACCAACTCCACAGCCCGGACAGCGCTTCTTCCAATCCCCAAGGCTTCTGCGAAGTCCCGTGCCTTATGCATGGCTTTCTCAACGCACACTTTGCGACCTTCGGTTTCGAGACGGCTCCTTGTTTCCTCTGTCAAGGTCCACTCTATATCGGCGACCTTGGCGTTCAAAGTATCGCATAGTTTTGTGTCCCATATCCCCAATAGTGCGAAGTCTCGAAACGTGATTTCGAAACTGGTTGTGACGCGGTACACGCTCTTACTCATGCTTCCATGGTACTCATTTTCAGGTTTTGTTAACGTTCTCGTCTTCCATTTGGCGATGCCAGAGTTCGGGTTTGAATCGCTTCCTTGCTTGGGGTCCTTGGCGCCGAGCATGAACTGGATTTGGCTGACGGTTTTGCTAATAGATGTTGAAGCTTTTTCTTGGGTGGCGGCTGTATCGGATATCATGATTGTCATTACTGCTAGTTCAGCCTTGTGATATAAATCGGAGGAGCCACTGACGTCAATGAGAAGTGGAGAGGTTAATGTCGGGGACCCCATGCTTGTTGTATTGACAATTTGGTGAGTATGGCGAGAAAGATTCAAAAACCGCAATCCCTACTTGAATTGGGAGAGCAAGTGTAACAAAGACATTTGCTTAGACAGGCCTCTAGCGTCGAAGCATATATATAGAGGCTGCAAAGCTGTTGCCTGGAGCTACTTGCCTAGCTTGAAGGCGAACTAAAGTACCGTAGGATCGCAGGGGATAAAACTTCTTATTTCTTATAGAACAAGTCGCAAACAACTTCAGTTTGCGACAAGTCTAGAGAGCCCAGAACGAGAGAACGCGAGGTTATATAGCCAGTGCCCAGAACCGCTGAACTACGCGTATCTAAGGAGAATCGCAGCTGACACTCCTGAATTCCAGGGGCACTGAAAATGAGTTAAGCATCAGGGAGTATTTCCTCTTTTGAAATCAATACACGAAGATATTAAGTTATGGGAAAAGCTTGAAACTCTTCTTTGTGAAGGAAATATCTCTGTGCTGTATGCAGCAACGTTGGAAACAAATTCTTAACTCTCCAAACAAAGCTGACGGTTAACCAGACATCCAAGGTGCAATGAGGCAATCTTAGATAATTAGCTATGTCACTCCAGCCAGCCTAATTGGGAAACACCTCCTGGGAATGTCCAAGGTGTACACCACGTGACTCGTCTCGATGTTGCCCCTGAGGAAGGTGCGATTCGACGAGCCGATGGTAGTGTCAAAGAAGTCACGAACTTCAATATTCGCATCGATATTTTTCCAAAAGGCACCATCTCCCTACATAGTCTTATTCCTCCCTACCTATTCGCACATCTTCTCCTAAGCAATTCAGCATTCCTAAATCCTCTCGTTCTTATGGATCTTAATGACGACCCTTACGAGCCATTTCTCCATACCCCCAATGATATACATCGTATTAATAACGTGTCCGATATGTCCAAGCTCATTGCCCGGCGAGATCAAAGCAGCCGTTCCAGCCAAAGGTCAAGAAGGGCCAGCATTGGGTCCGGAGAGAATGGTGCCGAGGACAGCCAGGTACTATTCATGAAAAAGACCACGGGAAAGAAAAGAAAAGGGCGATCATTTTCCGAGATCAGCCACAATTCCGCCATAAGATTAGATGAATCCTCAGTTGGCAAAGACGACGTTGAAAGTGACGGGGAGGCGGCCGCCATGGAAGAACTGGTTGCAAATATGATCGACAGAGAGATACAAGAGTGGCAATTCGTTTGCGAAATAGGCCGTCCATACTGGTGGTCACCCGAACAGAAGTTCCTTCGAATGCGAAAGCACTCCCCTGGAAATTCGAACAAGTATGATTATCGAAAGTGGATGGAAGAGAACGAATGCAGGCCAAAGCAAGCCGCTGGTTATCAACGTCGAGCAGTCTCCGAGGGGTATTTGTCTGACTCAAGCAGCGCTCATAGTTTGGCACAAATGGCTGCAGTCCGGCTACTCAGCTCGTGCTTCACACTCCCTCCGGATTGTGTCCTCGGTTCACCCAGCTACCCCACATCTGACAAAATCCCTGGGATTACAGTTCTAGACCCTCGAATGATTAGTTCTTTGAGAATGCATACAAATTTCCGATTCTCCCCATGCTTTGGACACCAGGCTCGCAACACCTCGCCCGTAACGCAATGGCCAAATACATTGGATGGACAGAGTGGAACTACGTCGATACCAGTGTCTCCGGAAGGATCTGGCTTTCAGACTCCAGAGATCGGCACTTCGGAAGTCAAAAGGAGGAGAAGGCTAGCACGTCGAAGACTGCATGTAACAGAACGTTCAAGCATGGAATCCTCGGTGGAAGGTGATTCTGGCGACCATGTGCGCTCAAGTTCAGAAGTTCTCGATCCAACTGTTGCTTCTACAGCTTCGGAAAGAGGAAAGAGCACACCCGACCAATCTCGGCGGAGTCATACCCTTCCAATGCTTGGCGATACGAATAGAAGACGAAAAAATAGGAATTTCCAGAAGCAGCAGCCACCTCCCAATACCCCGGTAGGCGGGGGGAAGAAGTTGGCTGAAGCTCATCATGGTACGGAAGTTCGTCAACAGCCAAGGACAATTTATCGTATGCAACCGGTTATACGCTCAGAACCCCATCACGTTTTTATTCAGCCTGTCCGAGAGTTAGTGGTAAAGCGATGGCGAACACTGAGACGACGATTTGGAGGTAGTCTGCATGCTCCTCTGACAGATGGGCGATCCGAAGATAAGGTGTCGACAGGTTCGGAATCTGGCGCGAGCGAAGTTCTAGGCCTTGCTCATAGCAACGATGGTAAGGCTCGAAGACAAAGAGCGCGGGAAAGAGGCAATATCCACAGCAGTATTGTTGATAGCGAAGGACACTGCAACTCTCCGGCGACTCCATGTCCTACTCCAGAAGAGAGGGGCGCCCACAGGCCGCTCAGGGCTGATTCGGTGGAGGCCAGTCTGTCATTCGCACTCGCAGACCCATTGTCGGCTACAGCGGCGTTGGCTGCTGCTGAGCCTGCTAGAAAAGAAGCCAATAATGGAGAGAAATTGTATGCTTCTGCGCCATCTTCCACTTCTATACCAGCTTCCTCGCCGCAGCCTCCAACTGGAACATTGGCATGGTCACCACCAACCTCTACTCGCAACCGGTCATTCGCGCCGAGAGCGTCGCACTTGCGAAGAAGCAGGCTTTCTGAGGTTCACACGCCAGAAGATTGTCTTACTGCTGATGCACCAGCAGAGGTTGATCGGGAAGCTGTTGACAGAGGCATACTCAGCGCAGCGGGAAGTGCACTTGCAAGTCCCGGGGGAGAATCACCGTCGCCTCTAGCTAGAATTGCAGGTCCTACTAGTTATTTCGACGTGGAAGATCTGCTACGACCAAAATCCCCCGGAAGAATGAGGCTCCGCAGGACTAGCACGAGTGGGACTCAGGTATTCCATCCGGATGAAGACGGCGTAGAGATAGATGGCCTTCCCGTGGGCCCAGGGAGAGAGAGATGGGCAAAAAAGGGCAGCAGCAGAGAAACAACATACCTATGAGACTCTTCGTTTGGTTACACCAGAAGATTGTTCTTCAACCCCCCTGATCGGTAACGAGACCTGTGGTATATTGAATTTGGATTAATGGAGAATTAGACTGGATATCTTCAAACCCAAGTATGCTGCTACCCAATGAGCCCATGGTGTTCCAGACAAAGTACAAGTACAGTCCCAAACGCCGTCCTATGCCTGCCATTCTATACGCCTCATTTCAAACATTGTGTTCAAAGTCGCCAATCAGCTGGTCTCAGCTTCTGGCTTAATGCTAACCATCTCATATTCGCCAGCTCCATCCCTCCCTCTGCCCCTTCCCCTCCCTCGCCCATGGCCCTGTTCTTCATCACCACCCTCACGTGCTTCGGTAGTGGTGTGCTCTGTGACCTGGGCAGTACTCGAACCTCCAAAATGAATAGGCCGCAACTCTCTCCACTGACAACTCCAAACCCCCAAGCTAATCATCATAACCACGCTGGCAACTTGCAGCGCCCACCATAGCCAGTTTGTAGGGATAGAATGCGAGTATAGGGATGTTATGACAAGGTGTATGAAATGGAGTGTAAGGGCGAAGTCGGGGACCAGTTTACTCCGCGTGATGAAGAAGAGGATAGATATCACACTGCACATGTACCAGTCAGAATCTTGTCATTTCCCTGAAGCTTCCGCAAAAGCCCATGATAGGTAGAGGAAGGGAAACATGGCATAACATAACATAACATACCCAAACAAAGAATTTAATAACCACACTAACCCCAACATCCACCCAACGGTTGTATCCCCCCTCAAGCTGCGCCAACTCAGAACCAGGTCAACACTGAAACTCTTGCCTGCCACCAGCACCGTGAACAGTATCAGCGCCGTGGCCGCGCCATACCAGATGCTCTGCAGTATCACGATTTGGGAGAGGATTTTTAGTGGTGGGAACTCGGTCAGGGCGCCGGGTCGGGGAGGGCGGCGTCGCCGTGCCATGGTTTGTAAAGATGTGTTATCGTGGGAGCATTTGGGGGATATGATATGATGTGTTGTGTTGTTTGGTTTGGTAGGAGGGGGAGCTTGAGAGTTGCCTGACTTGATCAGATGTCGAAAGGGACAGAGATGCGATGCGATATGATATGGAGTGTTATTGTTACCGATTAGGGGATGGGGGAGGGCGGTGAATGTTTTCTGCCGCCCGGACAAAGTGAAGCTTCTCTGATGGCGTTCCCAGGGTAAGAAGCTACAGCTACATCTGCGAGGACGCCACCTCGAACCTTTTATCCTAACTGCTGCAATAGCTGGATTATTTGCTGCCCTATCAATTAAGCAATTGGATAGCTGGTACGTCTCACTCGATTTGAGGGTTGCTTTTTGAACCTGGAATTGCTAATGCGACATACAGCTCTGTCTTCACGTCCGACAATTCGAAATGGGATTCTTTAGTACCACCACCACATCTCCTCCACCCCCGAAGATCTCCTCGGACGGCGCCCCTATAGCCCCGGATCGCACGCAGAGAGCGAAGTGTTGGGAGGGGAGAGATGGGTATTTCAAGTGTCTGGATAAGAATGGGATCATAGACAGTATCGGGGAGAAGGACAAAGCGGAGAAGGCGTGTGCGAGTGAGGCGAGAGGGTTCGAGGCGAATTGTGCGTCGAGTTGGGTGAGTGGCTATTTTCTTTTCGTGGATATGTTAGCAAGGGCTACGGATGTCGCTGTTGCGAAGGGAGCTGAGAGTGCACGTGCTAATGGTTTTTGGAATAGGTCACGTACTTCAAGAAGCGGCGAGTAATGGAATACCAGAAGTTCCAAACCATGGAGAAGTTGAGGGCCGAAGGAGCACAAGAGATGCCCGGAGAAATTGGTCAGGGAGCACCTGGACAGAAGCCATGATTGGATTGAGAATACGATACTTGTACAACAGAAACGGGTATACAGCATAGGGACGGCGTTGATGTATTGGAATAGAAATCTCCCATCAGACTGGATATTTGCGAAGAAGCTTTTTACATTTGGTGATCGTTTGTGAGTACGGCTACCGAGCAATAGCGTCTCCGGAAGTGAAGTTATTCGCATTTCTTTCAGAAGCGATGAGTATGTAGGTCCTTCTATAGAAGCTTGTGAGAGCGATGGAACACAAATGTTTTATGTTGGCAAGTGCCTCGACGTGAGCGTCAACGTCTCCAGCCCGGCTCTGATCTGGGGATTTCATGGCGTTTTCACTATTGCATACAAACTCTAGCCTGGCAGTGAAGGTCATGATGATCAATTACCAATAATACAAGCCAAGGTGCCAAAAACTCAAAAGTTGAACCCTCCCCCTCCCCCTCCAAGCGATCTCGCGTACTCATTTAGAGCCTGCCTAACAAACAGAGCTTGAAAAATGGCATCTCGCTTCTGTTTCTCCTCTTGCTCTGCCCGAAGCCTGAGTGCTTCTTCGAGGACAGCGCGCTGCTGCGCGTCCTGAACTTCCTGTCTGATTTGAGCAAGAGCTGCAATCCAATCCTCGACTGACAGTTCCTCCTCATGCCCAGTAGTACTTGCAGCCGGTGCTGCTGGTGTAGGAGTAGGCGTTGGAATTGGTGCGGACTGAGGGGCTTGTTGAGGGGCATCGGGTGCGGGAACCCGAATCAAAGGCTCATTGTAATCTAGTAAGTCATCGAGTCTATCCACACGATTCAGTTGGGAAACATTATAATCTCGACGGGGTAGTGATACATACTTGACACTGAGGACGGCAAGTTTTACAAGTGGATCATTGTTACTTTCAAAACTTCGGACGCCTGACCATTGCAAGATCAATCCAAGGTCCGCGATACTTCCTTGACGTCCTTCAACGCTTAGAATTTCATCCGAGTTGATTTGGATGGTCTGTTGACCAACAGGAAGGCGCACAACCTCATACCAGTAAACTTTCATCAATTTCTGGGCAAGGGAATCTTCTTCGAAGGCTCTGGTCTCGAATGCATCTTCTCGGTAGCGGCCAGTGAAGAAGTCCTTTTTATTGCGCAAGGTACCGAGAGAAACACGGAGCCATCCGAGTCCCTCTTCTTGAAGCACCTGCCGATCTGCATCGCTGAGCAAGGAAGAAATAGCGAGCTCAAGGTGAATCAAGATTGAGAAATGGCCTGGTTTAGCGCTGGTGAGGAATCTGGCATGAGAGTCGTTGCCATACATGTGAAGCATCCTCCAACATTGTGTGCCCTTTTCACCTCCGACGGTAGTAGGCTCAGTTTGGGTTTCTACAATACTCCAGTTTACCTTGGACTTGTCGGCGTTGTATTCTGGATTTACAATATCGAGCGGCGGAGTCAGATCGTCTTGGAATATTCTCTGGGTACTGAGTATATGGCTGACTTTGTGGGTGTTCTTGTGGTTTTTGGAAACTCTGCCGAGCTGGAAACAGCTTATGCACAGATCGTAGTCGTAGCATTCGGTGCATGTCACACGTGGCTGAGAGCAGTATATGGAATTCATGCATCCATCACACAAGGCCGCTTCTTGCATTGCCTCATCATCAGGGACTTCAGCGGATACTGGGTCCAGGATGCTGTCGGATGTCTTTGCTTGTCCTATATCTGAAGCGGGATGTTCAGGTGGAGGGCTGAATGGTTGTTCACCTTGTTGTTTGCTCGGAATTGGCGGTGCACTGCTTGTTCTGGCGTACTCCTGCATGTTGACGGAAAGGTCTTCTCTTGAGTGAGCAGGGTTGATAGAAGGATAGGGCCTTCGCCCCGAAGAATCAGCCGAATCATGCGACACGTTTCGTTGGTGTGCATTTTGGCTAGTCCCTGAGAACACAGGCGGTTGAAGATATGTTGCTCCTTCAGACTGTGTCGTCTGAGGTGGCCGTGGTCGATATGGCATATATTGCGGGTTCGCTTGCATATTGTTCCCAGAAGCTGCTGTTGCGTCCACTTCGATTGGACGAGGAACAGGAGGCCCACGACTAGTGTTGTACATACTGTTTGGGTACGGCGGCATAGTTCCTGGAGGCGTGTTTTGGACTGTGGGTCGATACGGGCGTTGAGGCGGCGGCGGTTGCTGTCGGCCACCAACTGGGACTCGAGGCACGCGTTCTTGGAAAGGATAGTACGATGAAGACGACGCCGCGTTCGATCCATCAATTTGTCCATTGGCACGATAGCCTGCTCGACATGTAAGTTGGGTGTCTCCTTGTGTGAGTTTCTCATGTTCCCTCATACCTGGTTGTGTGTATCGAGGTGCGGTAACGAGATCGAGGATACTAGTGAGAACAGGCAGCCAATTCTGGTCATACGAACCCCTGAACCTGCACAATTCTTTATGGTTTGCGTCTAGTCCATGCGCTACATCTTCGTTTGAGATGCTCAGGACGGCTGAGTGCTGTTCGACTATCTAAAGGTTCACATCAGTTCCAATCGGAGAGAAAGTAACGGCTTTCTTACCACCCGGGGACCTAATGGCGTCGTCTCGTAAAACGAATGAATCCTCATTTCTGTGCAGATATTTACGAATCGATTCGACGTTTGGAACAGGCCCTCATTGTCCTTTTCCAGGCTCTTCAGTAAGCCGCGATTAAGAACCTGCCACCCGGGAACAGCCGCTCCAGCGACTAAGGCTGCAACTTGCCCCAAGGTGGCAACCCCAGATCCGCGGTGGGGGGTTCCTAGAAATATGATGCCCGTTGTGGCTGTATGAATCGGTTTGTAGCGAGATTGAAGTGAAGCCTCGATCAAAGCCTGTTTATGGTCAGGTATATGGCACAGGGGTGGTCAAGTTCGGGTTTATCGACGCACCGATTTCACAAGTATACCTCCCAGAGAATGGCATATCCATAGTATTTTCCGTCCCTGCAGCCGTTGTCAGTGTCTGATCCCTACAACCAACGGCGTAGTCATCTCTGTACCTCATTTCCGCGCGTGATCGCTTTGACGCGGTTTAGCAACGTGAGTGCATGGCCATATATATTTTGAGTATTGAACGAGGTACTGGCATTGTATCCATAGGTCCATATCCGCGCGTTGTTCCTCCGTGCGTGAGCTTTGAGGTGTTCGGGAAGGAGGTCGCGAAACCAAATGCAGTTTGTTTCGGGGTGCTGCCATGTTTTTGTTGGCCCACCATTAAGTCCATGGAGGATAAAGATTCTAGATGGACAGTCTCTTAGCCACAGGTACGAGAGCCAGACTCTTGTATGGATTTATACAAGTGCGCGAAACATACTCGCATGTGCACGGCTCATTGCTGTTCGCGGGGTAAACTAGATAGAGACCAGGCTCGGCTTGCTCTTTGAAGAGGACGTAGGAAGTAGACTTTGATTCCTATTAGCTTTACCTAGAATGGTGAGGAAAGAGTGAAGTACCATCACGATTCACGAAACCAAATTTGCTATCGAGGTGGGAGAGGAAAGATGGCCGGTCAATAGGTTTGGCAAATCGAGGAGAAGGGTTCTCAGCTCGAGGAACCATAGATAGGCAGGGCATGTTCTTTTTTTAGTTGTCACACTCATGCTTCAGCCACAGTTCTCACCATGGGGTGCACCGGAGTGCTGAATACTCCTACAATCTTGGAATGGTCACACTGAATACCTAGTCTAGCCCAGCCACCACCTTGGCAACTTTGCAAGGCTCTCTCAGCTGCTGGCCGATGAATTATTATAGACACGAATTGAAACTTAAAAGGTAAGATACTCGCGCAAAGCAATTGTCAAAGTCAGACACTAACAATTAACTTAATTCATAATTAGGTTGATAATGAGAGATGGCTTTATTGAACGAAAAGAGCGAGCAGCGATGGAGTGATAGGACAGAATCTCGAGGATTATCAATAAAGCAATAAGCGCCACATGCAGCATGCAGAAGTTACCCTGCCCTACCTGCCCCTGTTCTGTTCAGTTCTAGATCTCGGCCGCAACCACGCGCACGCGATTTAGACGGTGATCGCGGTGGTGGAACATACTGTTATAAAAATCCAACATATCATAAAATACTAGGCCTCGTCTTCCATTTTTCTAACGATTTGAACACTACAAAATGTTCCAACGAAGTCGCTACGTTGCAACTTGCAGCAGAGGCAGAGCTTCAATCCCAGGATGTAGTTCTAATTCCCTACATAGCCTTGCTTCAATGTGGGTTACTTTCTACCCCATACTCAGGGAGTTCCATAACAAAGTTTCCTCCCGGTTTCGTTGCGGGGTTCTCCCCCTCATTCGCCCCTTTCTCAAGCTCGGACCGAACCGAAGAACTGTCGTGACGTTCGGCTTTGAAATGTAAGTGGGATGTTGGATCTCTTTAGAGATTCTTACAAATCAAGCCCCACGATATATTAAAGTCGAAAGCCTTGACAGTTCCAAGGTTTTAGTTTTGGAAATTCCATAGATACTAGAAAGGTAAAGATTTTATGCCATGGAGCTAAACACCCTTCAAAAGGCGGAGAAGCAACTCACGCTCTTCGTTACTTTCCAAGTAGCATCCGCGAACATCGAGAAGTTCAAGGAAGCACATCGGCCTGTATGGAAAGCATGCTCTGAAGAGCCAGAGTGCCTGCTATTTGATGTATTTCAACACCCAGATCAGCCAGGCCGGTTCAGGTTTGTTGAAAGTCTGGAGCAAAGGGAGAGAGTGGTTTGAAAAGGTGTGTCTGGGGAATCCTCCTACTAGCAATCTAATGGTTTCCACTAGGAGCAGATGACAAAGCCATACTATGCATCGCTTTGGGAAAGATCAAAGCCGTTATGGATCGCGGATAGTAAGTTCCCTGGGTCTGCACTGCTGAGTGGCCACGTGACTGACAATTATCCATTAGTCCATATGGAGTATTTCGAGAGAGAAGGTGAAGGAAGCGTTTGGAGTGATGATTACCTTGTAAGTGGCAAAAAGATGGAGAAGGGGAAGGAGAAGGAGAAGGAGAAGGGGGAGAACTTGCCTCCACATGAGCCGTGGTCGGGTTGGTTCAGCCACTACCGTTACTAGTCATCAACCGCTCAACCCCACGAACGTTTCTATGACCACCTCATCTGCTCATTTGCCGAGAACATATCAGACTGCACTCCCCACACTTCTGATAGATCTACCTACGGCTAAGAGTGTCCCGACAAGAATGACAGTAGCATAATGTCCAATAACATTGCACGTACAAGATCATGACGGTAAAAAAGCTCGCATTTCTCCCAAGATGACGTTGTTGACTTGGTGAGTTCCAAATTTGAGTACTACGTTGATGCGCTTTAGAGAAGAGGAAGTTCTATAAAGACGCTCAGGAGATCACGCCGAATATCATGCTTGCCAATACCTACACGCTGCACTATTCCACTACCCCGTACTTTACAAGATGCATCTCTCATTCGCTTCCGTCACTCTCACTGGACTTTCGTGTCTGTCTGTTCTGGCATCGGCAATCCCTACAAATTTCTCCTTCGCCAACAATCCAACAGGCGAAGGCTTTCCAAAACCGAATGCTCAGCAGTTGGTGGCAATCGAGGCACAAGCACACGGAAGTCTGCCAAATGGCCCTTCTCCATCATCGGTAAAGAACAACACAGTGACTAGCTTGCAACTCATTGCCTTCAATGAGATCTTCGAAACTGCTTTCTTCACTTCCCTCATCCAAAACATCACCAACAACGTTACGGGTTACGCCGTCTCTAACAGCACACTCAGATATGCTTCCCTTGAGGCTCTTGTTGCAATCCGTGCACAAGAAGAACTCGTAAGTGCTATGAGACAACATACTCCAAGGTGCCTAGGTATAGGTACCATGAATACCTTACCTTTGGTCCCTACCTTCATGTATTCATGACTGACCCCTTCCTCCTCCAGCACACCTTGTTTGCCAACAATTCCCTGACCGCACTTGGTGCGAAGCCTGTCCAAACCTGCGAGTTCATGTTTCCCGTGGCCACTCTCCCCGACGCAATCGCTCTCGCATCCAAGTTCACAGACATCGTCCTCGGCACCTTGCCAGCCATCCAGCTGCTGCTAGCTATGTCCAACGACTCAGCCCTTATTCCCGGGATCGGTTCTGTTATCGGCCAAGAAGGCGAGCAAAACGGCGCTTACCGTCTCTTCCAAAACAAGATCCCTAGCGCGCTTCCCTTCCTCACGGCCGGCACTCGCGAGTTCGCCTTCAGTGCTCTGAACCAGAACTTTATCGTTCCAGGTTCCTGCGCTGTTGACTATATTGACCTCCCTGTCTTCAAGCCCCTCACTGTCGTCACAAATGCTATCGCTGCCCGGAACCAGACTTTATCGTTTGAGTTTCCCATGTCTAATGGCTCGACGACTTTCAACGCCAGTTCCTACTCGCTCGCGTACGTCAACCAGCAGAACATCCCCGTGATCGAACCGCTGCAGAACATCACTGCCAATCAGACGTCTAAGACGATGAAGTTCAATGCTGCGTTCCCTTATAATGGCACGACGTTCGGCAATGGCTTGACGTATGCCTTGGTCGTTAACGGTTCTACCACTGGGCTAACCTCCGCCGCTGATGTTGCTGCTATTACCGTCTATGGTCCTGGTTTAATCGAGATCAATTAGTGTTTGACGAGATTGTAGATAGATGTGTATGGAATATATATAAATGATTTACAAGACAGGGTTATAAAGCATACACGAAAAGCAACTTTAATGATATTAACTGTATTGACAATTTACATACTCGTCTCGCATAACCGGTAGTAGCGATTGGAAATCCGCCCTCGCCCCCCCGGCGCCCTCTCGCTTGCAGCTCCAATGTGCTCCAGTCGATCCCCTACACTTGAGACAACTGGGACCAATCAAAACTCGCATGCAGCACTGAAGGGCAAAAGGGCAATCGCCCTTTGATTTTGCGAAATGCAACAAAACTTTAAGGCTTATATTCCATTTCGAGCGATCATGTGGATGCTCACGTGAGCAGAGGAGATAAGGGATGGCAATGGAGATGACGATGAGGATGCTGTATATCTGCACATAATGTTGGTTTCTGACTTCTTAGAGTCGACGTGTGGTATGCACGGCGCAGGGAGAGACAAATCTTGCAAGGAAATTCTGTCTCAATTGATGTAAAGAAGAATTCCGAGAGAAAGAAAAATAAGTGTCGCAAGACGTATCAAGACGGGCTATTAGTAATAATCAACGTGCTCCTTGACACAGCACTGCACTGCACTGCATTGCACTAGCAGAGTTACCAGTCCAGTCAACCTCAGCTGGGAATGACCTCAAATACAATGCTGCATGCACCTCTCCATACCGGCGGTATCTATAGGTTTACATAACCGCACCATCATACCATGCTACCCATGACACGGCACGGCACGCATCGTGAAGAAACGACAATCATACTATGGGTGCAGCGTGCGTAGGGTCTAGACTATGAGGTTCTGCATAGGCGCCGCATAGGTTCTGCAGCTAGACAGGATGCAGATATAAACATAGGAAGGGAGGGTCGTTGCGGCGTTGGCGTTGACGATGGCGCGACAAGGAAATTCAATAGATGTTCTGTAAAGTGCCCAGGCCAGGTACCTTATTCGTTGTACTTGAGGCTATCTCTGTTCATTCTCACCATCCTGCTGAAGTATCTTATATAATCGGTTGATATGTGCTAAGACTGAATTGGTAACTGGTGTTGGCGGTGAACAGGGGACTTGGGAGTAGGCGGTGAGTCTGGAATAAAAGCTTGGTGCAGCTACGTCAGAGTATCTAAGTATCTCTCTCTCGGCCGGCCTTTCTTCGCCATACCGCGTCCCCTCCCCCACCACCACAAATACTACAAGCACAACCTCCACGAGTCCACCTCCTTCACCTCTCCAACAAGCTGCCTTGCCTTACCTTACCTTCAACACCCAATTGCTGCAACCCCCACACCGCACTTGAACTGTTTCCCGCCTTATTGTCTGGCCCCCCCCCCCTTCTCCCATTATCCCCGGCCCTTCGTCTTATGATCTTAGACTGCTCTCGCCTTTAGAGAAACTGTCCATGTCGTTGTGATCTTTCACATCACTTGGTCCATTCACCAACTCGATTCGATTCGATTCTCTTCTCCAAAGCTCACCACCATGTCAAAGACATCTGATCAAGAGAATGCCGAGCTCTCTGACACGCCGCGTCCGCTCCTGCCAGACCGACAAGAGTCTATCCACCCAGCTCTTGATCCCTCGCGGACCAACGTTCCTGTGACGCCTGGCTTCCATTCTAGTGATTTTGACGCAGAGGGTAGCGACCACTCCTCGGAAACCTCTTATTTTGCCCACGACATAAACAAGGTCCGCTCAGCAATAGCCCAGTCTCCTGCTGCTGCGGCGTCTGGCGCCAAATCGAATCGAGATCTCCTGCGCCGAATAAGCCTCACGTCGGGCTTGGGAAGACAAGACTCCCTGATAGACATGGACCCCCGAGCTGCCAACCCCTCCTTGAGTCTTAGTGGGGGCATCATCTCTGCAACCTTCTGCATACCACACACTCTGAAATACAGAAAGGGCGCCGACTGGGTAAGCACGCTCTTCCTAATCTGCGAGGCATATCTAACTGGTACTCTAGGGTCTCGGTAGTCGCCGCGGTACCTCGGCCCTTTTCGATTCCTTTGCCTACCTCTCTTCCGATAAGACGCCTTGGAACCATACACTTGTTGGCTGGACAGGAGAGATAAATCCAGCGGACGAGGAAATCACCCCTCCCAATACACCACCGGCAAATCCTACAGTGAATAAGATCCCTCTAAACAAGAACTCCGCTCCAATTCCCGTCGATGCGTTTGCGAAGCCTGTCGAGCCAGCAACGTCGGAGGGTCTACACATCTCCAAAGAAGACATAAAGGCACTGGAAACGCAATTGGCCCGTGACAAGAAGGGGAGGACTGTACCTGTCTGGCTAGCAGACGACACTGAAGGGATTAGCGATGGAGATTTATATTTGACAGATCAGTCTCGGTGGAGAAGGTTTGCGGAGCATGAACTCTACACGCTGTTCCACTACAAGCAGCACGAGCCTACGAATGGTCGAGCAGAGCGTCAAACATGGGCGGATTATTACAGGATGAACCAAAAGTTTGCCAACCGTATCCTCGAAATCTACAAGCCCGGCGATATAGTCATGATCCACGACTACCACTTGCTGCTACTTCCAAGTATGCTCCGGCAACGAGTCCCGCATATGTATATTTCCTTCTTCCTGCATGTTCCTTTCCCTAGTAGCGAATTTTTACGATGCTTGCCACGCAGAAAGGATATTCTCGAGGGCGTTTTGGGCGCGAATCTGATCGGCTTCCAAGCATACAGTTACTCTCGGCACTTTGTTTCCTGCTGTACCCGAATCGTGGGATATCCTTCGGATACTGCGGGTGTCGATGCATACGGGGGAAAAGTTAGTGTGGGCGTTTTTCCAATTGGCATTGATGCTGCTGCCGTTCAGCACGAGGCCTTTGATAACCCAGTTATTGGCGAAAAGGTCACTGCTCTGCGGGAACTCTACAAGGACAAGAAAATTATTGTCGGTCGAGATCGTCTGGATACCGTGCGAGGTGTAGCACAGAAGCTTATGGCATTCGAGAGATTCCTGGACATGTATCCCGAGTGGAGAGACAAGGTAGTCTTGATTCAAGTCACCAGTCCCACCAGTGTTGAGGAGGAACAGGAAGATGCGGGAAATAAGATCGCAAACAAAGTCTCAGAACTTGTCCTGAAGATCAATGGAGTTTACGGATCATTGGAATTCTCTCCGGTTCAGCATTACCCGCAATATCTATCTCAGGAGGAGTATTTCGCACTTTTACGCGCTGGGGATGTTGCTCTCATTACCAGTGTCCGTGATGGAATGAACACAACCAGTCTCGAGTACGTGGTATGCCAGCGCAACTCTCATGGCCCACTCATCCTTTCCGAGTTTTCTGGAACTGCCGGTAGCTTGAAGGACGCAATTCATATCAACCCTTGGGATCTTTCCGGCGTGGCCCATCAGATTCATTACGCGTTGACAATGGGCGAAGACAAGAAGATGGCAATGCATTCAAGCCTTTATCACCATGTTACCACAAAGAACGTACAGGCATGGTCAACAGGATACATCAAGCGCCTGCTCAGTGTTCTCAGTGCACATAACACACTTATCTCGACGCCGCTTCTAGACAAGGCAATTATGCTTACACAATACAGAGCAGCCACCAAGCGGCTCTTCATGTTTGATTACGACGGAACTCTCACTCCCATTGTTAAGAACCCTAGCGATGCCATCCCGTCTGAAAGAGTCATCCGCACCCTCAAAGCACTGGCATCCGATCACAGAAATGCGGTCTGGATCATCAGTGGTCGAGACCAGGAGTTCCTGAGTCAATACTTGGGTGATATTCCAGAGCTAGGATTCAGCGCTGAGCATGGAAGTTTCATGCGTCATCCTGGCAGTTCGGAGTGGGAGAATCTTGCCGAAACATTTGATATGAGTTGGCAGAAAGAAGTCATGGAGTGTTTCCAAAAATACACAGAGATGACTCCTGGTTCGTTCCCGCGTTCCCTCGATCTCTCAAGGTTCACAACTAACAAATTATAGGCTCCTTCATCGAACGCAAGCGCTGCGCCTTGACATGGCACTACCGCCCATCGGACCCCGAACTCGGCGCCAACAATTCCCGCAAATGCCAGACAGAACTCGAGAAAACCGTTGGCAAGAAATGGGACGTCGAAGTCATGACTGGCAAAGCCAACCTTGAAGTCCGACCAACCTTCATTAACAAAGGCGAGATCGCTAAGCGCCTTGTTGCCGACTATGGTAGTGAAGTTGGCGAACCACCAGAATTTACTCTCTGCTTAGGAGATGACTTCACGGACGAAGATATGTTTCGCGCCCTCAATGGCAGCAACCTCCCGGTTGACCACGTCTTCACTGTCACCGTGGGCGCAAGCTCAAAGATGACACTCGCGCACTGGCATCTCCTCGAACCCTCAGATGTAATCAGTAGTATTGCACTTTTGAATGGTGGCGATAGTGATTTGGCTGATCTGGGCCCGTTGGCAGTTGTCGAAGGCAGAATCCCCGAATCGATGCCTGGTGAGATACATTGAGTGCGTTGTACAATTGTGGAGTGATTGCATTTTGGGGTCAGGCGTGGATGGGCGTGGTGTGGCGAAGCTTCTTGGGAGGTTGCTTTGGGTCAAGTTGTATTTATACGCGCAGACTTTGGTAAATACGGAATAGATAGAAAAAGAAGTACATTGAAATAACACAGGCGTAAATTACATCAATTATGGATAATATACCTGCATAAGTGTAGATGATATACTTGCTACTGCATTGGAGTAGGTAAAGCAAGTAGACTTAAGTGGGCTGAGCCGCTGAGGACTCGGGTTCATAGCACATGCACTCTACTCTCTTTAGCACTGCCAATTTCATAGATAGGGCTATCTATATATCATTCAGTCATGATTCTAGATCGTCATCTAATGCTTAATAATAAGCTATGTGTATGAAATTATATACATTCCGGGCTGTGGATGTAACTACATATAGGCGACTGTTCAACATGGAGAGTATACGCAACTACCAATACAACCAGAAGACCTATTGGACTCTACCTCTCGTTGCAACAGGCCAAATCTCCTCAATCACACCATTACGGTGTGCGTAGTAGAAGTCATGCAGGTTCACAGTTGGATCAATATGACTTGGAATCATTTCCACCCTCGCACCAATGGGAATATCGGGCTTGTTCTCCTTCCATTCGAGCCAAGCGTGTTCATCCCCCATAGGCGTGTAAGTGACATCAGGCATATCCTTTGGTTCTGCAAACCCACTATCAGTGGTCAACGTCTTCAGACCAGCATCGATAGTAACACGACGTTCGGTTGCAGATTTGCTGATAACCGTCGAAAGGATAGTTAGACTATGAGAGAAATAACTGCCAACTGCATTCCTGTAGTCGGAATCCATGAAAATGAAAGAGCCTGGCTGCACTTCTGTGACACCGGGGGTCGTGGCGCAAAACTCGGCAGTCCCCGTTCCTCCAGTAGTGACGACTTGGATGTCGAATCCTTTCCCCCTTAACAAGGTCGCAGTTCCGGTGAGAATCGCCATGGAAGCTCGGCATTCTTTCTCTCTTTCTTCACGTCCATGGACATGCTGGAGATGTCCCTCATAGCCTTGAATCCCGAGAAGCTTCAAATGACTGAGTGTCGAAATGTGCTGCGCAAGAGCCGGCGCCAACTCAGGAGCGACTCCAGTACGATGCAAGCCAACGTCAAGGTCAATAAGAACTTGGATTGGCTTCTGGATGCCAGAATCTCTTAGCGCCGTGTCGATAGCCGTAGCTCCGATTTCACTATCAACAACTATTTGGATTCCTGGATGTTTGCGAAAAAGCTCAACGAGACGAGCAACCTTGACTGGTCCGACTATCTCACAGGTGATCAAGAGATCCTCGATGCCTTCTGCGGCCATGACTTCGGCTTCGCTCAGTTTGGCCACACATGCTCCCTTGGCGCCTGCCGCGATCAGCTTTTTGGCAAGAATGGGGCTTTTGGTTGTTTTTAGATGCGGTCTGATATTAACAGCCAGCGGCTTCAGGAGCAGCATCAGCTTTTGGATATTCTCCTCCATTATGTCGAGATCGACAATCATAGAAGGCGTATCAAGGCTCTCGAGCCGGTCTCCAGGCTTGGGGTCGTACATCGAGTGCGTCTTTACTGATCTGAGCGTAAAGCGTTCAAGACTTGACGTTATAACTTTCTTTTCCGGAGATGTAAAGCTTGTCTCTATGTTGGTGTTACTTGTCAACACCGATAGGCGAGTGTGAATATAGAGGTAGAATAATTAAGCTGTTCTTGATATCTGTAACTTGTTTACACGGTTTAAATGAAAGATGTTATGTTTTTAGATTGATCCACTAGAATCTTGGCGAAAGTAGGAAGTAACGTAGCATTTAATACAACACCAAATGACTAATACCGCACCCATAAAGTTGTTTATAACTGAGACTGCATTCAAAGTGTTCTTTATGACTGAGACCGCACTCTTAGGGTAGGCGGATGAGGTAGTCGTATTCAGGTAGGAGATGGAGAGCTCGAGGAAATACACATTTGCAAAAATGGGGGTAGTGCAGGGGGAAGTAACACAGCTGCGGCAAGGTTAGCTAAATGTAGGAAGTCTTCTTAATAGACTCTCTTAACAGAAAAATAATTATTATAGCAAAAAATGTTATAAGAAGATAAAATTAATTAAAGAACGGTAAGAATCCTATATAAGAGTTTGGGTTAGGACCTAAAAGTGGAGCTGGTGGGGCGCCTACTTTTCCAGACACCAAATTATACTGTGTTTTTTATTATACCTCTAGTATATAGCATGAAAACTGATAAGAGTTTAGAGAATTAGAGTCGTGTAAGGCTGGTATTGTTTGTGTTCTAGTTACATTGCAACACCATTCAAGATGACTCTTAAAAGCAAGGAGTTCTCTATTTCCTTAGCACGTGAAATAAGTTCTTCAGCATCCCAGTTGGCCCATACCAATGTGCCTCTAAGAAACCTCGCCTCCGACGACGCAAGCCACACTAGAAACTGGCCAGGGAGCTCAACTAGACTGAATCAGCAAACATAATATTAGAGGTGGATGGGTTATAGCTGGAAAGTTATCGCCGGATCATGGCTATAATCATATGCAGCCTGGTTAACGTACCTTCATCCAGGCCCTGTACGTCCGTGTTGGCGTTTATTTCCGTATCAGTAATCCCTGGCTGCACATTCACAACATGCAGCTCAGGGTTCTCGGCCGCAACAAAGTCGAACATTCTAGTACTGGCCAACTTGGTCACGGCGTATGCAAACACATCCTCCACTGGTGCTACCGGTGCCAAGTGTGCGATAGAAGAGGAAATATTAAAGAGCTTGGCTCCTGGGGCTGCCAAAGGGATGAAAGCCTGCACAGCATTGAGCGACCCGATAACGTTGACCTCGAATCCGCGTCGCAACTCGTTCACGTCGTAGGTAGCCACACCTCCGTAACTGGTGAGAACTCCAGCATTGGAAACAAAGATATCGATCTTGCCCACCTGGACCACAATGCTCTTCAGAGCACCATCAATAGATGCGCGTTTTGTAGTGTCGGCAGTTTCGAATAACACTCGAGTTGCAGGTCCGGCTGCGGTTATAGATGAAGCAGAAGTCTGAAGTCGATCGAGACGGCGACCAAGAATAGCCACAGATGCAGCACCCGCCTGAGCAAACGCGATGGCAGTGGCTTTGCCTATACCCGTACCTCCGCCTGTTACAACGACGTTCTTACCAGCTGCTGAGAGCTCCGGTCGTGAAGGTGATATGAACGGATATGGTTTATCGTGCCATGTCTCGGTGAAAGAGGTCCATCCAAAAGGCGGCATTTTGTAGTTGCAAGATAATGGGTTGTGACAGTCTGAAGTGATAGGGTGCTTTGGACCTGAGCCAATTGTAATATTTGATAAAAATATAAAGAATGATATCTATCGGATCAATAACTAGAAGTGAGCCTGCAGCCTTTTATATAGTACTCTCCTTAATGAATTGAGATAAATAAAGGATTCATGGGATGCCTATGTCACAGCTTCCGCGGAACCTGAAATTGTCAGCTGGGAGTATAGGCCTGCAATGGAAAATGATTGAGAATCTGAGATGCCTCGTATATTTTTAACAGCCTCCGCGGAAGCCCTTATAAATCGGCTTAGCCAAGAAGCGCTCTTGTCCACTGAAATTACTATGGCTTTGTTTTATCAGCGATGTCTTCTGCGGAAGACTAAGGGAAGTGAGCTAATATAGCCACCATAAATGGCTGAACCTCGACTTCAAGTAAATATGAGGATACACTGCTGCTAGACTATGAGACTATTGGGTTTTATTCTTATGACTCCAGACTGCCAGGTTACGTTTGCCTCAGCTTCGGTTTCACGCGCTAATGTATAAAGGCCCCAGGATTGTCACCGGCTGCTTCAGCCCATATACATGCTCGGCCCCATTCTCTATAAAGTAGAACGGCAACACCTCCTCACTTAACAACTGGCCAGCTACTACTCTATCGTTACGCTGTCCTTGTTGAAATGCCATGCGATCATACCGAACAAGCTCTTTGCATGCCTCCCCGATCCTTCTAAGTGGCTCGTGGGATGTCTGCAGTACCATTTCCTCTACATACAGCAGCGCCATGTCCGCTAGACGTCTATCAAATTCTAAACTCCCATGATTTGGCTGGCACATGTTGTTCGCGGTTAGGCATACCAAACCCGATACATGTGCACACGCAGTCATCCTGTGAAACCGTCTCGTCAGCTCCAGTTTGAAGACACAGAGAGCTTCAAAACACAGTACTTACCAGACGAACGCGGCATCTTTCCCCTCCATGCTCATGGACAATTTCAAGAACTCCCGCGATTCGTTCACGAGTGTTTCCCAACCTTCTGGAAGTGGGGCTATCAGTGGTACTGGCATTGCCGCGTTTCCGTTGGCAGCCCTACACCCATAGTCTTGCAACTTTTCCATCCAACGTGCGTCCCAGGAGTGAGCCAGACTCACCAAGCTCAGGCATGACAGACGAGTACCATACAAGATCCCGAAGTATCTCAACATGCCAGGGGAGCAAGCCTGCGATAAAGCATTAGGACTGAAAGACCCCGGCACATGAGATGCCCAGTCGTCCAACATGCGACGAATCTGTGTCATATTATCGGCTCTAGTTTCAGGTCTCGTTTGCGCTCGTACCGAATACAGGCAGTCGTAAAGGCTTCCTTGAATCCGGGCCAACTGCACTCGAGCGCGGAAGAAGTTGAACCTAAAATGATCATCCGCGCCAACAACAAATCCTGCCTCATCTTCGCCAGGCTGTTCCGCCGGTAAATCTAGATCGATGTCGATGTCTTGTTGGAGGGGTGCTTGTTTGATTCGCATACTGATATCCCTATCAAGAATGTATATTATCCAAAATACACGGTTCCGCTGCAGGGCATCCAAAGCATCCAGATGCTCAGAGCTTCTGTGACTTTGAAGTCTAAGTCTGTGTGCTAGGCGTAGAGCAGTAGCCACCAGCATTGTAGGTGGTCCCATATCTTGGGCCCCTTGATATAACATGACTAACCCAGCTAGCACCTGAACGTTGATGAGGCTCACATCGCGCATCGTGACCTCAGTCAATACTGACTGTGCCTTATTGAGATATTCGGCAGTGGTTTTGGTAGAGAACATATCTATTGGATTGCTTCCACGATAAGCAAGTGCAAGGACCACGTTGATTGCAGCCCAAGATGCGCAGTCTCTCTGATCTGGATACCGATACCAATTGTGTATGGACTTTAGCAATGCCTCTGAATGAAAGAGTGGAAGGACAGAATTGAAAGTTGTTAGATATTTCTCAACAGCTGGCAAGACCTCCGGTAGTGGTGGCAATTCCATCGATGCATGGTGGCGTGTCTCGAAGAAGCCAGCCTCGTCTCTAGGAAGGTTTTGTACCGGTGATGAGGAGATAGGAGAGACGCTTAGTTCAGGCACGAGGCCTTCAAGCTTGCTGATATTCTGCAGGGCCTGACTAAGGCGAGTCTCGAGATGCTCGAGACGAGATTTTACATGATCCTCTCCTTTGCTGGATCCCTGCTTCCGCGCTGATGTTTTCCGACTCGCAGCTGTATGAGTGCACTCCCTCTTGTATATCACACAGTGAGAACAAACAGGTTTCTGCCCATCGCATTTAATTCTTTTGTTATAGCAGAGGTCGCATGCCTACTTAGGAATTTCGTCAGCGTTGAAAACCTAATAGGTATGTAGAGTATACGAAAATTAAGATTAACGTACTTTTCTAGGAGCGCTTTGTTGCACCATAATGACTTAAAACTTAGGATGTTCGTAATAGTAATAATCGTAAAAAATATTAATCTATAAAATAGAACTGTTTTCCTTAAAGATAGAATTTTACATATAAGAGACTCTAGATTACGATCCGGTTCCGCGGAACATCAGCTGACAAATATAAACATTCGGACTTTAAGAAACTATGTCGGAAATAAGATAATACGAATTTCAAAAGGTAAGAGCTATGTCTGAGAGAGTCTATTTACATCTTTGAGAAGATCTTTTACATCATCTCTTATACTAAAGATATGAGTAGAAGTATTTCATTTGCTAGTTTTAATGTAGGGATTCAAGTCTTGCACTTAATACAATGGACGTGAAATATATTACAGCTGAATGGCACTTGACAGCAACTTTACAAGGTGCGGCAAAAGCCCGATTTCAGTGAATTTCCACGCTCCTGTGGTACGCAAGACAATACAAGGTATGTACCAAGTCTCGCCGTCTCGGCGACTGAAGACACGCTCCTCAAAGGGCGTTAAATCGTGCGAGTTACAGACTAAGTGTTGAAGGGTGTGACCGTCAAACGAAATACATGTTTTAAACTCACCCACATCATACTTATAGGTCTTCTACCGACCAATGTCGGCTGCTGGCAAACGTAGTTCTGGAGTCGAGATGGCGAGATATGGGGGAGTAGTCTGCCAGTAGACCAGCCGTCTTGGCACACCTATCAGAGAAGGCGGGTTGGGATAGTGAACGCAAATTCGAATCAATGATGTATTGGTTATTGGGTATGATGAGCTGGAGGATTAAGTATTAGGAGCTCGTAATTTAATGGATATATTCGAAGATTGAGAGACAGAAAAGGGGGATGATAGCGTGACTTGACGAAGCTTTTGGATAACAGGAAGGGCTTAGAGATCCAGACGTAAAAATCTTGGATTCTACAGAAGAAAAATCAAACAAAAAATGACCTTTCGCCGCTCGATTCGGCTGACGCCACCAATAAAGCCCATTATTTGAACACTCGTGGGTCAGCCGGTATATTTACCTTGTAAGATCCACGGGATCGCCGCAAAAACGAATGTGTGGGACCGTCCCAAGCGTGGGTGGACCACAGATGACAGGTATTATCTGCATATGTGATGCTAGGGCTAACCTGCAGAGGAAAACGTGGGATGATCCATATTTATATACTCCTTTTATGGACTTCTGTGCTAGCTGCTTGCTTGAGCTAGAGGCGCCGTGATTTAGCAACCAATGATTCTTGATGTGATCAGATTGAATGAAGCATTCCAATCTTGGATTGGGAGGATTATCAAAGCCCGCGTTTGAGATAATGCAGTGTTAGTTCGCGAATATGTCTCGGAGTTTAAGTTGGAGAACCCTTAAACTCTCGTGGGTAACCTCTTGACATTTTTGGATGTGAAACCCAAATAAAGCTTCGGGTAGCGCCACAGGGTCGTGGTTAGAGGAGAAACCGTCTTTGGCGGAGGCCAAGTACTTGGGATCGTGTTAGTTGGGAAGACTACCTAGTGTACTAAGTCAGCGGAGTATCACGAGTTTTAGACAGATCTGAATAGGCCTGGAGCTACTTGTGTTAATGGTGTGAAGTGTGACCACTGTGAGACTACGAATTGCGGGTTAACGTTGCGTTGAATCAGTTCTTGTCTTTAATGGCGGCTCTTGATTACTTTGCCGTTATATCTTGAACCTGCTGCACACGTGGTTGAGAGGTACGAGTATCTGAGCACTACTCGTAAATATGTGGCGTCGTATTCTTGGCGAATACCAGCCAGTCCAGGCAGGCCAGGCCACCCCACCCTACAGGGCCCACGCCAACCAACCAACCCCCCGTTAGCTGGCCGGCGCTCTCCCGCTAAAATGGCCAAGGCTTAGGGGCTTCCCCAGCGAATGTTTAGGCTCTACCCACCCACGTTCTGATTTGTGTGCCTCTGATTGGCTGTTACCAACGACATCCTTCTTTTTGCTTTCAAGCAGACCCCCAGGGACATTTGGACGTCCCAGAAAAGCATGCAAATGTTGGACAGGAAAATCCAATGAGCTGCAGTATGCAAGGGCATATGGCGGATATCTAATCTTAGCTGTTGTCGCGTGCAGCCTCCGTACAGTTTGTGAAGTTATCTTAAGACTGGGTATGATTTACCAAACGAATGATTGCATTGTGTAGCAATGCTACCGAGTATTTTAGCAGCCGCTGAATATCAGAACGGAAAGGAACATTCCTCCGAATTCAAGTCCACAGGTACTCGGGACCACGTTGTTAGATTGTTTGGCTCCGCCGCTCCTGGATGTTTATACATCGCTCCCGCCAAGACGCCTCTTATCGAGGACCAGGTAGGATGTGAAGGCTCCAGCTCTCTCGACCGATTTGGACCTGTAGCCGACCCACCGGGCTTAATATTCTAGAAGGCTTCCTCTTCAGGATGTATCGATGCTATTGCGTTACAGTTCTCACACGTGTGGTTATATTTAATTGACTGGTCCACTGGTCTTTACCTAATGGGCATAAAGTTAGATTATTCCCAGGAAACAGAGCCTATAAAAGTCCCTTTTTCGGGGACATCCCACGGTCCATTACCCCGAGAAGCGGGTTGGCGTGCCACCCCTGCGGAATTCGAGATGCCAGTCATGTAAGTAAATATTGGCCCTGTCGAGATTCGGATCGTGCCTGGATAGAGAGCTTTGATTGGCTGCATCACAAGCTTTTTCCGTGTTTTTAAGTGAGTCTTGGAACGCCTCAAGCCTAGAAACTAACATACGCCTTTCGTTCTTAGTTTCATATCCACTTCTATCAACTACCTCCCTCTACTCCGTATGATTCCAGATTCTCTGCCCATCAAACCGCATTTCGTACGATCAAATGCACACGCGTCTAAAGTCGTCACGCTATTTGGCTATTAACTTGCATTTTGGTGGATTTAATAGGGCATATTAACATCAACGGCCCAAGAAGTGCCTATCATCCGAGACCCTTAGGTGCATCTTTAATCTTCCCGTCTCGGTATCACCAAGGGTGCTTCTCGCCAAGTCTTCCGCTCGTCCAATTGTCGTCGTGGCTGGTTGGAGCTTCCTATTATTCAACTTCAGCCGTCCCTAAGTGCAGTCCCACGCCCGGACGCGCTCCGAGAGAAAATATCGCATCCTTGCCCCTCGCCGCAGCTTAGCTTCTAGCGTTCCATTACAGATTGTCCTGCATCCATCCTCGAGGCAATATAAGTCCTGCTGCGGCCCCCTCGATTCTTGCTCCTGGATCTTCACTCTAGTCCAGCCTATGACAACATATCGTCGTCGAGAAGTCAACTAATCTTTGTTTTTTCATTTGTTGTTGAGACAAGCTCAATACAATGGCTACTGTCACTGCCACTGCCATTGCCAACAAGACCTCTGGAGGCAACAACGCCTTCCACAACTTCAACAATGACTTCGCCCACATCCAAGATCCCAATGAGCGACGAAGACTTGCTCTGGCCGAGGTCGACAAGGCTCCTTTTGGATGGTACCATGTTCGTGCTTGCGTAGTCGCTGGTATAGGTTTCTTCACTGATTCCTACGATGTAAGCTATAATTCACAACTAGATATTAGAGTCTTATCTCACTTTGATTAGATATTTGCCATTAACTTGGTTACCGCTATGTTGGGTGTCGTGTTCTTCAACAACAAGAAGTCCAAGGGGACCATTCCTACAAACTCAGATACCGCCATCAAGGTCGCTACATCTGGTGGAACTGTTCTCGGTCAATTGGGATTCGGATATCTTGCCGATGTTGTGGGTCGCAAGCGCATGTACGGACTCGAGTTGATCATTATTATCTTTGCGACTCTCGCTCAAGCTCTCTCATCCCCATCGCCAGCTATCTCGATTACGGGTCTCATTATTTTCTGGCGTGTGATTATGGTAAAGTCAATCCACCGAGCTGAAGAACACTGCTAATTGAACAGGGTATCGGAATTGGAGGTGACTACCCATTGTCCTCCGTCATTACCTCTGAGTTTGCTACCACCAAATGGAGAGGAGCCATGATGAATGCAGTGTTCGCCATGCAGGGTATTGGTCAATTCACCGCCGCAATCATTGCCTTGATTGTCACTTCTGGCTTCAAGGAGTCCCTTGAGACAGGTAAGAAGATCGGAAAGGTTGGAGCAGCCACCAACTGCACTGGTGTCTGCCAACTGGCTGTCGACAAGATGTGGCGTGTTATTGTCGGGTTCGGTGCTGTTCCCGGCTGTATCGCTCTCTACTACCGTCTCACCATCCCAGAAACCCCTCGTTACACTTTCGATGTCGCACGCGACGTTGAGAAAGCAGGAGAAGATGTCCAGGCATACATAAAGGGCAAATCTGAAGGCCATCCAGATGAGATCCGCCGTGTTACCACCATTGCTCAATCATCCCAGGCTCTCGAGATCCCTAAGGCATCATTCAAGGATTTCATTCACCACTACGGTCAATGGAAGAACGGAAAGATTCTCCTCGGTACAGCTGGTTCATGGTTCTTCCTCGATGTTGCCTACTATGGCCTCGGCCTTAACAACTCCATTATCCTCACTGCTATCGGATGGTCTGGTGGTAGCAACATGTACGAGGTATTCTACAAGAACGCTGTTGGTAACTTGATCCTCGTCTGCGCTGGTGCTATTCCAGGTTATTGGGTTTCAGTCGCTACCATCGATACTCTCGGCCGCAAACCAATCCAAATAATGGGTTTCGTTCTCCTGACCATTCTTTTCATCGTGATCGGATTTGCCTACAACCATCTTTCCGGACATGCCCTTCTCGCCCTTTACGTCCTCGCACAATTCTTCTTCAACTTCGGACCCAACTCCACAACATTTGTTGTCCCTGGCGAGTGCTTCCCAACTCGATACCGTTCGACTTCTCATGGTTTCTCCGCTGCCTCTGGAAAAGTCGGTGCCATCATCGCTCAGTGTGTGTTTGGTCCTCTCCGAACCCGTGGCGCCGCACCTGGTGCTACCGGCAAAGCTGCCTCTCCTTGGTTGGACCACGTCATGCAGATCTTCGCTCTCTTCATGTTGTGTGGTGTGTTTACCTCGTTCTTAATACCGGAGACCAAGCGCAAGACTCTTGAGGAATTGGCTGGTGAAGTTCCAGGGTAAGATTTGATTTCCCCCTTCCTCGTCGTTCAAATAAAAACAAGCCTAACTTTTCGCTCGCAGAACACCCAACTACGACCCAGTCAATGGTGGTCCGCGTAAGAACTCCCGCGGCGGGTCAGAAGAAGTCCCTGAAATTAACGCTGGTCCCGAGAAGATCGTTTGAGATCATTCAGCGCTTGGTCTTTTCATACACAAATAATCAATATTACATAAAACGGACCAACTTTGGTTGCTGGGAGGACGGATTGCTGCTAGATACCTCTTTTCTTTGTATGTAAACCATGATTTTGGGTCATAAGATAGATGATGGGTGTAATGAGATATGGGTATCAATATATCATTGGTCAACATACTGCTTGCCTCTATTCGTCGTTCAGTGATGATTCCTGACCAAATGGTGGCTGATTTCGCGCCGAAAAGGAAGATAGAGTCAAAACACACACTTTGTTCCCATATGAACTGATGTTGCAGTAGCAAAGTTTGAGGTCCTTAATGCTTCCTGTATAAAAAGATAAATACACTCTTGTGTTTCTTCTATCGTATTCTGTCAAAATAAAGCATAGTGCACCACGGTCCACAAAATCTTCTACTAAAAGCAAAGCTTCGAAACCATGTAAGAGAACTTTATTAATGAACACAACTTTGGTTGCAATGGGGATACCGAGAGTGCCAAGAGATTTGCTGCAAAGTTAACAACTAAGAGGGGAGCCGAGCGGCGGCTGCAAACGGAAATCCACTGTGTACTGGTTTTGATTCATTGTTTTTTCTTCATTTTATGGGAAGGAAAGGACGTGGATATATGGAGGAGTTTTGCAGGTTTAGCATGTTAAGGTTAGATGGAATGTGAATTGTGGCCTTGAGGTCGTATTTTAGGGGGTGGAAGGATGAATGGATGAACGGATTATATGGGTATAAAGATGTCTTCTGCTTGTGCAATATTTTACTCCAATGCAGATAGGAAAACATATTACTTTTTCTTCTTCATGTAGGTTTTTACAAGGAAGATGGACTTTAGATCTTGAATATGAGTTCTAATGACCAGTGAGTGTCAGTTTCGGATTCTTATTCTTGCATAGGGCTTAGTGGTCATTTGTTCGAGCGTTTGTTCACTTACTAGTCGACTTGCTGTCAAGTCCAGATTCACCTTCGTTTGATTTCGCTGCTTGATAAGATTATATTTCGAATTAGGTGTCATGGTTAAAATTAGAATGAACCCATTCCAACATAATGTGCGAGGCTTGGGTACAGGTTTGACAAGGCAGACAGGCTCACAATAGTATGAGCCTCCAAGGTCGCAGATCATGCTTGGGGTGTAAGAAAGCCGCCTTGCGAGAAATATATAAGATTCTACGGAGTGGATCGAAGAGCGCGTATGGTGTTTGGGTATAAAAGCCTCTTGTTTACACATACTACTAGATCTACAATACCATGATCATATATCAAAGATGCTCACCTGAAGGATTCCTGTTCGAAGATTTGATTTATTCTGTATTACACAAAGTGGACTTCTCACCTTTAAGAAATAAGACATATGTAGTTTCGGGACATTCATTGTCATATACATGGTTCCGGAACTCGCAAGCGCTATACTGTCGTGTATCATTTTTCAATTCACGTTTAGCAAATCTCTATCTTCTTTTGCCTTTCAAAAGTCATCAGATCTAAAAGCCAGCAAAATCAGCTTCTCATATTACTTGTTCATGAATTATCTACTTATCTTACCTCGCAGCTTTTCTAGCTGACAACGAAATTATATCCATCGCTCTCATCGTTTCTTAGTCCATGGAGGAGTTGCATCACTTCCATAGCAACTAATGCATGGTCCCTACCATTTTTAGTTTCAACCAAATCATCAAATGCGAGGGGTTTAGTAGCCTACTTTTCTCTCAGTCAATATCTTTGAAAATCACTTTTCGTAAACCGCAAGTCACGTGGACGACCACCTATTGATTTAGCGAGAGAGAATAGGGGTCCTGGGCCCCAAATTAGATTAGTAGGACTTCAGTGAGTCACAAGGAAGTTATTTCATAGCTTAGATTATAGTTTAATCCCGACTCGCACAAACCTCTAGCTTCTTCATCATCTCAACGATCACCACCAAAAAACATGAAGTAATACATCATAATAAAAAGCCGCCTCAAATCCAAAATGACCAGCATCAGAAGACCACAAAAGGCGCCGAAGGGTCTAGTTTTCAATTCAAGTCCACTAAAACGAAATTTTGACGACAGCTCTACCCTTAATCAAGGACCTAAAGTGAAACGACACTGCGAAATCTCACCGCCGCCACAATTCAGCGTCAAGGCCCGTATTCTCATTTTATCAGACACACACGGCGCGGAAGCTCTCCCGGAAAAAATAACCGAACCCGTAGATCTCGTTCTTCACTGTGGCGATCTATCACAGGGCGGAGAATTGGATTCCTATCGCAAAACTATTGCTCTACTGTCATCCATCAGAGCCCCTTTGAAACTTGTTATCCCAGGAAACCATGACCTCAGCTTAGACGAAAAATACTGGTTTGCAAACTGCAAGCCAGAAGGCGCTCATATTCCTTCCGAAGCGAGGGCGATATGGAATGGGAAGGAGACAGCCGGTATCAAACTCCTGGAGACGGGAACTCATGAGCTTGTACTGGAGAACGGGGGAGTGCTGAGAATATACGCAAGTTCTGCTACTCCCATCCCAATGCGGGGTGCAGATTGGGCGTTCGGATATGAGACTGATCAGGATATATATAATCCCGTTGGAACGGGAATTTCATACGGGGTGAATGCCTCGACAGCAAGGACTGAAATCCCAGATGATACGAAAGTAGACATTATGATGACGCATGGACCTGCAAAATACCAGTTGGACAAGACGAGAAATGGGGACAGCGTTGGATGTCCACATCTATTCCGGGCGCTGAGGAGGATAAGGCCGAGAGTTCATGCGTTTGGACACGTGCATGATAGCTGTGGTGTATCCCGCATCTTGTGGGAAGAAGAAAGGGAGCCTTTGCCTGCAGATGACGACGGGATTGATGATGGGGTCAAGGGAGAGAAAGGGGTGCAAGTGAGAGATGCTAATGGTGTGCAGCTGATTGAAATTGTGGAGAGGAATGAGGGGATGGAAACACTGCTTGTCAATACTGCGCTTATGGGTGACGATGGAAAGCTGGAAAAGGGTGCCGTGGGTACTTGAAATGGATCTTCCTTTGACGGAATGAAGTGCCATATTGTATTAACCAGTTGCCAGTCGCAACGATCTGAATATATCGAAGTCTGAGTGGTGCGTTGGGACTAAAGAATTATACCCATCCATCATATTAAAACCAGGACATCTCGAAATACCTAATATATTCCAACCTGGATGTTAAACTGTTGGAAATTCATATAAGCCAACTTCAATCTTGATATTACCTACCTCAGTAAGTAATGTATGACAATCACGTGATGAAAGTACTCGAACTTCATTTTAGCTATAGCTTACATGGATCACCTGCGGTAATAAGAATCTACAAAGAGAAGTATCGATTTTACCAAGCAGTCAGAATGGAAGTCATTACTCATCCAATATGCAGCTCGCTACTTTAGGCCCGAATAAGGAATTGCACGTGCCTTCGGACTGTTAGATAAAACCCGCTTTTGAACTCCTTACCTCCCTTCTCTGCATTTGTGAAGCTTTCGGGGCTATAGAACTCTCCGCCCAACGGGACATAAGGCATAAGCTTCATTGATCCGTCTTTGAGTCATGGCGTTGCATCCATGATATAAATACTAATAAGGCAGAGCCCGCTGCCACAATGACGGCACCAAGGTGTATCAGAAGAGGCACTTCAAGACCATCCAGGCACTTCAAGACTATTCAGTAACCATCACCGCCAATGTCAAGCCCCAACATCCTCATCTCAGGTTCCGGAATCGCAGGCAGTGTCTTCGCATTCTGGCTTCTCCGTGCCTACCCAGACGCCACCATCACCATAGTAGAACGCGACCCCTCACTCCGCCTGACAGGTGCCAGCGTCGATATACGCAGCACAGCCGTAGATATCATTAAATGGATGGGCGCCGAACAGGAGATCCGCACCCAGAGCACAAAGGAAGAGGGCGTGCAACTCGTAGACGCGCAGGGCAGGGCCGCGGCAACGCTGCGAGCGAGCGGTCGGTCAGACGTCCAGAGCATCACATCGGAATTCGAGATCTACCGCGGCGCGCTCGCGAAGATTTTCATGGACCCGATCGAAACACGAGTAAAACTCATCTTTGATGAATCGGTTGATAGTTTCGAGCAGCGTGATGACGGCGTCGTGGTCACGTTTGCAAGGAGTAAGGAGGTGAAAACGTACGATTTCCTCGTGGCGGCTGATGGTTTTGGCTCGAGGATCCGCGGTATGATGCTGGATAGCAAACCGCAGGAGCAAGTCTACGACGAGGGCGTTCATATAGCGTACTTCACCATCAAGAGCGACATGCTCCAGGGCAGCCGTCTGGCGAAATGGTATAACGCGACGGGTGGACGCGTGGTTTTCCTGCGTCCTGATAACGATCCTGATGGGCGCACGAGAGGCAATCTCATGAACGTGACGACGAGTGCAGATGTCGAGACGAAGGAGAGACTCAACAGAGCTTTTCGCGAGGGCAACGATAGCTACATGACGCTTATGGAAGAGATGTTCGGCGACGCGGGCTGGGTGGCTCCCGAGGTGTTGCGTGACATGCGCGAGAGCGATGACTTCTACTGCTCGCTGTTCGGGCAGATCAGAGCACCCAAGTTACAAAGTGGCCGCGTGGTCCTGCTGGGCGATGCCGGCTATGCGACGCCTGGTTTCGGCACCAGTTTGGCCATCATTGGCGGCTACGTGCTTGCTGGGGAGCTGTTGAATCATCCTGGCGATGTCACATCGGCTTTGCAGCGGTATGAAGGGCTCATGGCGCCGTTCGTAAAGGAGTCGCAGGGTGGGGATAAGGCGATGCAGTATTTCAACCCGCAGACGCAGACGGGTATTAGGATCAGAAATGCGCTTTTGGGTTTCGTGACGGGGATGAGGCTGGATAGATTGGCGATGGCTGGAGCTTCAATGCTAGGGTTTGGCGAGACGAAACTATCGATGCCTGATTATCAATGGCCGGCAGAGCGAAAGTGATGATCTTGCTTTCCCAGAGAAGTGGTATAGGTTTCTCCCCTCTTGTATAATATCTCCTGGTCTTAGTAGCCTTTAATATAACGCCCCTTTTGTATGACTCCCTTCCCATATTCAAAATAAGAAGAGCAGGTTTACTATTTCAAGAACCCTTCCTACCACTGCGGGGAACACTATTCAGAAGCGGGGTAGAATTCAGGGGTAATTTGGAGACACTGAAAAACGCATCAGACGTGAGAGGTCCAAGTAGTTGTATTTCCATATTTTGAATCATCTCCCCAAGCTACCCACAACACTCCCAACCATAACCGCAACCTCCCTCTCCCAGTTCCCTTCTATACCCCTCCTTTCCTTCTCCGCCAATCCACTCGGCGCCTGACTCCCCCTAACCACACACTCCCTAATCGCATCCCTAACCCCATTCCGATTACTCTTCAACGTCCGCGCGCTAACACCACCTCTATTCATAATCTCCATAACCTTCGTGCTCAACCCCCCTGCTAACGTTCTCCAGAAATAACTCGCTAGTGACCCGGTCTCCAGACTCGTTAACAAGGGTTGTAGGAAGTTGGGTGGCGGAGGAAGAGATGGAAGAAGGGGATGCGTTGGTGGGACGGTGGTAGATAGAAGGGAGGATAAGGCGAGGATGTTTTGGCAGCGCGCAGAGATCTCGAGGAGTGTGCGGTCGAGGGTGGGGAGCGTGGCTAGGGCGCGGGAGAGGGATGCGAGCGAGGAGGTGAGAGCTGTGCGGAGGTAATCTTGCAACGATTGTACCAGTAATTCCGGCTCCCATTTCTCCAGTTTCTTACTACTCGTCATGGAGGCATCGGGGACAGGGGATAAGAGGTAGAGGGAGAGTAGCGCGGACGTGGTGCGCGATTTGGTGTCGGCTGTTTGGGCGTATGTTGTTGTGTTTGTGCCGGTTGAGAGATTGCTCATGGAGAACTCCCGGATGATTTGTTGGGATTTCGAGAGCACTACTCGTTCGGCGGGGGTTATGGTTGTGTTTTGTAATGTCCGTATTACTTCCACCCGTTCCATGCCATGTCCTTCTTCTCCTGGTCCATTCTTGTAAAATAGTTCGCGTAGACTGAGTAATGTATTCGAGCATCTTACTAGGGCTCTGTGATCCTCCTTTTGCCCTTGTGTCTTGACTGGGTTTCCTGTCCCTGCTACTTCAGCAAGCTGAATCTCCAATTGTCGTCCTAGTTGCAGACATCGTCCTACTGACCGCCCCAATCGCACCGTTTCCCATAATCTTGAGGCCACAGCCTTCACCTCCTCAGCTGTCTCGTACCGCACCAGAACCTCCTTCTCCAGTCTCTTATATCCATCATTCAAGCTCGCCACCTGCGAGTCTATCTCTTGTACTATTCGCGCGCTCGATGCTGTTTGTTCTTGTGTATGTGTGAGGAGAGGAAGTGCGCTTTTGGTGGTGAGGGTGTCAATATGGGTATTTATCTCCTGGGCGTCGAAGAGTACTCTTGAAAGGGGTGTCAAGAGGTCGAGTGGAGTGTCGGTGGGGTTGTTGGTAGTGAGGACTAGGGAGTTTGCGAATGCCGAGGGGGAGAAGGAGGGGGAGAGGAAGGTTTCGTAGTCTATGTAAGACGTATCCTCTTCTTCCGTGGTCATGGTGGTGGGCTGAGACGGTGTTCAGGTCTTGCCATTGAGCATCAATGGGTTAAACCTAGAGAGGATGCTTGATCTCGGATATGGACGGTTCTTGAAGCTGTTGTTTTGGACCCTTGAGGTGTTGCTTTCTTCAGAGAGGCTGCGCGCATGGATCACTTACCGGTCTGTTGTTCTTATCGGGTGTGGCTGGAATGGCATGCATGGGCATGGCTATGATTTCCTTTGCATTGGATTCGTACAGGTAGAGGGATTTTAGAAATATTATTTCCTTATAATATCAGATCCAGAGTTTATTTATCCCTCGTCATCTGAATTGATACTTATTACCAAGTATGGCTGGCTTTCAAGTAAATAAGAATAAATAAGAGATATAAAGTTATTTCTGCCCCCCCGGAGCTTGCGGGATGGCTTACAGTATCGAAAATTTAGCGGCGGCTCATCTATTTATACAAGCCGCATGTTGGAGCTCTTCCCCACACTTACTCCACGTACAACATCTCCCTCTCCCATGAAATCTTCTAGAAAAGCAAGAGCGCAACATTCTGGTCCGGGTATGCATCAGTAGGGGCAGCTCCGTCTGTGGTTCCATCTCTCCGCTACCTCCGTCAACATGGGCCTCATCAACGTCCGCGATCTTCTCGCATTCCCCCAGGGCGACAACACCACCGATACCCTCATTGGAGGCATCCATTGGAACCTCACGACTTTGAAGCATTGGAACTACACCTACTACTCGAATGGCACGTTTTCAAATGGCTCCCTATGCTTCCTCCTTTTCGAACCCTACACTCCGCACCTCCTCCAGAACGGCACATTTCTCAATAGCACATCATGCTATTCCCCAATCGAACCGTTGCAGATACGATCAAAAGTCGGGCTGGGATTTGCATGTATATTTGCCCTGAGCCTTATGTTTACATTCATCAATCTGAGGAAACATGGGAGGCTGTTTCTACCAACAGAAAAACGGTTCCGGGCAGTCGGAAGAAGATGGCAGTGGTATTGGATGCTGGTAGTCGCAGCTTTTGCGATTATAAGTAGTATCACGGGTGTGGATGTGGATCGATACTATCTACCGGAATTGCCAATCGTCTTATCGAACTTCTTCTGGTTTCTGATGTTGCCGACTACAATGTGTATTGTATGGGAGAGCGTGCGGCATTGGGGTAGCTGGCAGGAAAGACAAATGATTGATCCGAATCCCTTTTTACTTAGGCAAGACGACCGGCGAAGTAAAGTAGAGTTCTTTTTGCCGTTGGTGTTCTACTTTTGTGCTTGGCTGGTATATTCCCCGAGATTGTCCAAGGGTGAGACTGACCTCGATAATAGAATTTCTTCATGATAGTTCCACGGCCTTGGTCTGCTATTGAACGACAACGAGATCCCGATCAAGCGCGGCTACAAGCAGAACCTGTTGCTACTGATGCCCGATTCAAAGTCGCGGCATTTCTCCTCTTTGGTGGCTGGCTCACCACGGTCTTCTCCCTCCACCACTCCATCAAACATTACAAACCCCGGAATCGCGGAGTATTCAACCGAATGTTCGGAATTGTCAGATACATACCTATCAAGTTTCTCTTCACACTTCCACTCTCTCTGTTAATGATTGGATACGAAGCCGCATGTGCATTCGACTTCTCCGTATCCCCACTCAACTATAACACGAACCTCGCCATAATGTTCGGCCTAGGCTGGGCACCCATAGCCCTCATCTTTGTGGTCTATGAAATAGCAGGTTATTTCGATCCCAACGAAGACCGTGAGCTCCTCCGACAACGTCGTGTCCGCGGTATCGAAGCAGACCAGGAAATCGGTATCACGAAGAAGCCACACTGGTGGTCACGACTGCACGGCGAAAACCGCGCTCTTAATATCCACGACCGAATTGCGCGAAATGTGTCAGAGATAGGGGGTGGGAGAGCAACGACGAAGAATCTAGAGCGGGGTATTGAAATGGGTAATATGCCAGCAAGCAAGAAGAACGACGATCATAGACCACCTGAAAATATCGAGTCTATCCGTGCAACTGCCAACTTGCTATTTCCCAATTCAACAAACGAGGAGACTCAAGAGCGGTTTACTGATGCACCGCTGACTGGGAGAGGACGCACTCCTGGATCTAGTGCGCGACCAGTCTCCAGTACGAGAAACGAGACGAGAACAGGGTCTAGTGACCGCAGTAATAGCTCGAATAGTAGTGTTACTCTTGGTGCGCAACCGCAACAGATTCGGTCTATGCTGGATGTTTAGCGGGATTGTAGTATAAAATTGGGTCGGGCATTGAAAAGGAGGGATGGCAAATGGCGTTTCGGTACTGTTGAACAGGGAGGTTCCTCGGAATGTGATATAATTAACGTCGTTATGACCTAGTATGGTTGGGGAGCATTTGGATGGGGGTGCTTCTGAATGGGGATACTCCATATAATAGTTTTAGGCTATTGATACAAAGTATCCGCCGCTTTCATCTAAGCTAAGTGTCTAGGTAAGCCGACGGGCCTTTCACAGCCTGCCCGCTTACCAGGCCATATCGTTCACGCAAAGCTGAGTACAAGTAATCAATCACCTAATAAAGTAAACTTTACTAAGAAAAGCTATGGGGGACCCGGCCCCTGAAAGTTGTATGCTTTCTCGGTAAGTGCTTGGCATACATTACTGAGAAAGGGGGTGCGTTTCCCAACTAAGTGCTTGATGAGATGTCCGACGAATTGTACAAACACCTGTTGACAACAGAACGACTGGAAGGCCAATTTCAGTGACTAATAATTCGTAAACTTTTGGTATTATTTTATTCTTAGTATTATCTATCATTTGCCATCACGCAAGTAGCCTGCCTCTACGCTAATAATTCGTGTGCATGCCCTGGCTTATCCCTTTCTTTTACAACCCCTCCTTCAGCAGCCTCTATAATCTCGCGACCGCCAGCCTCTACCGGTAACATCGGCACGCTTTCCGTTGCCGCTAACTCTGATTTCCCAATTCCGAACCCAAAATTAAGACTAAATTGAGAGGCGGTAGAAGCTGCTACATTGGCGCGCTTCCGTCTAACGAAGAGCCAGCCAGCCACAATGGCAAACAACGCGAGCAGTATAACGCCCACTGCTATGCCTGCCTTTGCGCCACTCGAAAGAGAGGACTTTGAAGGTTGTGGAGCGGCGCTTTGAGTGGGCGTCGACGAGGATGAAGAGCCTGGAATGCTGCTCGTAGGTGTGGCTGGTTGAAAATCCGTCGATTGCCATCGTATCGAGACGCCGTATGCATTCAGCCCGACTTCTAATACCGTAGGCGCCCTGATCGTCGAGCCAGATGTAACCGTGATGACATCCACTGTTGTTTCTCCCCTGAGGTTCGAGGTGCACGGGTCCGTGACGTGGAGCTGCGAGGCCCAGGAATCGGCACTTACGTTTGCTTTGACATATGGGCCGCCAGTGGCGGTGGGGCTGCGGAGAGTTAACTGTGCTCCTTTGGAACTGCTTCGAGGTTGTAGTGTAGTGTAGTGTAGTGCAGTCTTCTTACCAGCATAAGCCTTGCGTTTCTGTCACTGGGCCGACGATGTTGAGACTCGTTGATGCTACAACGTAGCCGCTTGGACAAAGGCCCGGGGAGTACCACTATGCAGTGGAGTCCCAGCCAGGAGGATAGCAAGATGGTGCGTTGCCGGTCTGTGGAGGGCCCATGGCCACAAAGTCGTGAAGCTCGGTTGTCACAGAGGAACCCTCACCGAATGAGTAGAGCAGAGTGCTGTAATAAAGGTCTGTGAAGCATGATGGCTCTGGTGTAAAGGTTGTCGTCAGTGCTGGTATTGTCGAGGCTGTCTGGGCGATGGTTGAGGAAGTCATATTTGAGCCGCTACAAGTGCTTGCGGTGAAGTTACGGAGGGACGCAGTTGCAGTCTGAGAGTTTGAAATCACATCGCTCGCACCTTATCAAGTGCTAAACCCCCCTGTATTACAGCGCCGCAAAGGCACAGGCTTTCAGGGGTTGCCAATGGCTGTTGTTAACAAATGCGGCGACCCCCACCCAGCAGAGCCCCAAAACGGACTAATTCGGATTCTGAAAGGCTTCCTGGGCCCTGGCATCCTGCCTATCTTTTCTGCAAGCATCGCCATTTTAATCTTTTATTGAAGATTCGAGACGCAAAGGAAGATAAATGTATGTTATTAGTTGAGAGAACGTGCTACGTATGTAAGGCTCCAATGTTTACTACCATTCTACAATTCGTATTTGAAGAACTGTGAAAAACAAGCAAGACAGAGGCTCGAGAGGTTGTTGGGCATGCGTCAGGGGCTAAGCGAGTGGGATCCTTTAATACTACCTTAGATACAGCTGGCTAATAGACCGATTTGTCGAAAGAAATTGGAGGCTGAGCCATGCACACTAGTGCCCATCTGGTATACACCTAACGGTTATATAAATATCTTGTAAAATATGCTGGTCGAGAGCGCGCCAATTAAAACACAAGTACGAGTAGCTTGTTTGCTACTTACTCATGATCTGCTTGTATGACCTTAATACTGTGAGATGTCTAGACAGACAATACCGATTCCTTGAATTTTCTCGCGCAAGTCTCGAGCCTTGCTTCTCATAATACCCATATGAATTCCCACGTATTCAAGAAGACACATTGTCTTCCTCCACCCCCTCCTCACCTGCACTTCCTTCTTCATTGTTGACTTGAATAAGTAACTCTTTTGTCCTAGGACCAGTATACGTCCTACAATCTTTAGTATGCTCCTCTTTGAATGGATGGGACACCTACCTCCTCGCACCAGCAAACCACCATCCCAAACTGAACACAGCAATGAAAGCCGCCACGGCGGACGCATAGTTCATATTCAACGCCGTAATTGGTCTAATTGTGGGGAACAGTAGAACAATGCTAATGAAAAACACCCAAGTGCATGTAATGGCATTAATGGGCTTCTGCCACAAACCAAGTTGATACGGACCGGGGACGAATTGAATACGGTTGGCGTAGATATTGCGTGCTAATATCACGAGCGCGTACGAAAAGTCAAGGGCCGGCGCAGTGATGTTGAAGATGGCGACTATAGTTAATGTGGATCCGATGCCAATGAGTGTCATGCAGCTACAAAAGCCGACGCAAAGCCAGACTGCGTTGACAGGAGTCCTGGTATGTTGATTGATTTTGGAAAAGAAGCTATGATAGTCAAGTTAGGCAATATTATAAACACAGCGAACAGGAGTAAATACCGGGAAAACGGAATGGCTCCATCGCGGGCAAAGGCATAGGTCATCCGGGTCATAGCCATCATAGCAGAGGCGCCAGTAAAGGCCTGGACGAGTATCACGAAGAACCACATCGCTGTGCCACCCTTCCTGCCGCCCGCGTTCAAGAAGATCTGCGCAGCGGGAAGTCCAGTCGGACTTTTCACCACGGCATCTAGATCGTCGATACAGAAGCAAAACGTGATTGTCATGAGCCACCCGACAATGCCCGTAATAGTGACAGACCATCTGATTGCTCTCGGGCCTCGAGTGGCTGCATCATGGGTTTCCTCCGACATGTGAGTTGTGCTGTCGTAGTCGGTCATGACCCATGCCACGGAGAGGAAGCTGAGGAGAAATGAGAAGCCGGTTCCCCAACCAGAACCATCGATAAAATGCCCAAAGACCCATTTCGCGTTCTGTTTGTCGGGGGTGAGAGCGAGAAGTGCGATACAGATGGCAAGTGAACCGAGAATATTGATGGGTCCGAACCAGAGCTCGATTTCATGCAGCTTTTTGGTTGTCAGGGAGCAAATCACTCCAAAGAAGACCAAAAATACTATAGTTAAGAGGACGATTTGTAGCGGGGTTCTGATTGAGGTTAGCAATGTGATGAGAAGTTGAATAGATAGTGAGATCTTGTACGGTGTATAAGCGTATGCTCCCATCACGCTGTCGTATTTTGAGTTCATGCTTGCCCCAGCGAAAATCATTTGGCTTATAGTGTAAGAGACACTAGCAACTCCAGCTCCTTGTCCTAAAAGATTAAGCCATCCAATAACCCAGGCCCACAACGCTGCATGCTCAGGAGGGACGACGCTTTTGGTCACAAAGTACATGCCACCAGCAGTTGGGTAAGCGGAAACGAGTTCGGAAACTGTGAAGCTTGAATATCAGACTTGTCTCGCTTTTGAAAATGTGGCTTATATACCTGACGCTGATGTAAATGAAGCCATTATTGACCCAATGAACCATGCCCATACAGCAGCTGCCGGGCCACCGAGGCTGAGGGGAGTCCCGTACGTAGCAGGAACGGATCCTAAAACACCAAGCACGGAGACAGCGTATGATAGAATGGACCATTGGTTGAAATGCCGGCTCATATCCTACAACTGCGTCAATATGAAGATGCAGGAACTGCACTAGAGATTCAAACCTGATTATAGCCAATCTGAGCGAGCAATCGCTCATCGTCATCTTGAATTGTGGCCATCTCATGAAACTGATGACTTTTTCCTCCTGTAGCTGAGCTCGTGGAGGTTGTCGCAACAGGACTTTTCTCATCTTGAGACGCCATTGTAAGTATCAATCAGAGTACTGCACTTTGGAAGAAGTGAAAAAAGAGCTCCCGCAAGCGCTTTCAAGAATGAGGAGAAATAAGAATTGGGGAAGTTACACAACGATAACGAATTCGACGTGCTCGATGCTCAAGCTCGAATCGGATCAACTCCCCGCCCACCGGGTTGTAGCACTCTCTCGACAGAGACAGTTTTTCGGTGAACTCGGCTTCCACCCAGGGTGGTACCAAGTTCCGATACGGATCTTAGATGCTAGTTCGAAGTATATAGGGACGACTATAGGTCCTCAAAGTGATGTGAGAGGTGCCAATCCAAAGGGTTCGAGCCGATGCAGTTGATCACACCATACTTGTTCTAGGGTAAATACAATATTAGAGATTTGGTATCAACAAAGGAGATATGAACCGACATATAGGAATAACCGCGCTTGGCTAAAGAGTCGAGAAAATTGAGACTTGTGTCGGGAGCCGGCCGGGACGGCGCGGGATGTAATATTGTAATATTCGGTCTGAACCGAAGCACACCTGTAGCCGACACGAACAAGGGGGAAATCGCAATGCAAGACCGTGGAATTTCACGATACAGACCGAATATTGGGTAGTAATGAGTACATCTCGTGAAGCTACATGGGTGTCGTCAAACTAAATTAAAAAAAGTACAGAATTGCGATCAACGGCACGGTGCACAAAGCGGGCCAAGCTTTTCACCCACACCACATCCATATTCCCGTCAAACATGCACTTCGCCCAAAGTGCATGTGCTATGTGTATGTTCAACACCAATAATAAAATGTTATGAATCTCAACGACTTGGAAGATATTAGTTGTTCCTCGACTTTGAAGCTCTCAACATCGTAGGCGGAAACGCTCGATAAGATACGCCACAAGAAAAGAATGGAAGAGTAAGGTAGGTAGGTGTGAGCGGGAAACCGTTGATTAGTGTACCAGCAGCTTGGGCTGGGTGTTAGACGTGCAGCCACAGTTTCTGCGCACATTTGGAACGGCCGTTGATTCGTAGGAAGACGCCGGATGGATCAAAATGGAAGGTGTTACCGCTTCCCAATGTGCCCTAGAAGCTTTTCCCTGCCATTGGACGACATGTTCCGCCGTGGGGAGGTTGCATTACGATAGAAATATTGATTTGGGTCGATTGGAAATTTAATCGAAGTCTACTTTGATCGTTCATTCATGGTAGTCACATGTTAGACCTCGTCGTAGCTACTGTTGTATGGGAAAATCGCGAATGCATTATCGCGCTGCCCAGTCAGTAGAAGGTGGAGAAGAGGCTTGAAAGTCTTCTTTATATGTCAACATGCCAAGTTCGTTAGGATATTCTCTGCATGGTGATCCACTGTGCCCCCTGTTAAATCCTAGTACCTGATTACAGTAAAAGGTACCTGAAAATTAGCGAATGGCGGCTATAACTTCAGGGTCCGTCCTAATATAGTAGTTTCACCTACAGCGGATAATTCGCTGCAATGGAATCCTTCTCTAGGACCCGGTAGTAGGGTAATGTGACACTAAAGATAATTAACATCAACAAAAGGGGAAGTCTAATCCTGAGGCGATATTGGCTCCATAATCAGATATTGAACCCCACGAACAAGGCTCGGATTTAATGAACGATAGGGCTTATCAAAACGTCTTGAAGAATAAAGCTTTAACCCTAGAAGTCAATATAAGATTTAATATAGAATACCGTCAAACAATATAGGAGTTAATCATCTCTCCGGGAGTGCCGAAGTTCAAAAGACCCAGCTCTCGCACGGGTACACTACATATCCGGTCATTTAAATTTCTCACCAACACGAGCTGCGAAAGTGGCCTGTCGTGATATGCTTCAATGAGGTTTGTATGAGCGACCCGCACCCGTAACACGACTTGAGCTGTAAGCATTGCGCCTCTCATAAGCATCAGCATTGGCATCAGCTATACGTGTCGCTTAAGCCACAACACTGTACTACATTGGCATTATTGGCCATGAAGTATCCAAAGTCGTATAGGAGTAAGCTTCAGCTAAGGATGCGGTGTTAGGCAATCAATATGTTGCCGTTTCATATTCTCTTTTCTATCATCAGCTTAGTTAACCCAGTTGACGAAATTGCCACTCGTGTTCAGGTGCGTATTTAAAGCCCATACATAGGCTCCTCAGAAACTTCTCTACCAAACTCACATCACTACTCGAAAATTCCATACCATAATCTTCTCACCCAAGTACTTCCAGTATCTATCTCAAAATGCAGTTCTCTACCCTCGTCACCGTTGCCTTTGGCCTCATCAGCACCATGACCGTCTCTGCTCTTCCAAACAATCCTACGGTCCTCGAAGTCCGCCAGACGACTTGCAATCCAGGACAATCCTATTGCCAAGTCTGCCAGCCTCATACCGATGGCTTCCCACCAAACTGCAAAGTAGGGTTTCTGCTAGCACTGTTACAGCGTTGTTCGAACTTGAAAGCTAACATCTTAAAGGGAGTTTGTAATGCCGACGGAACTGCGATTACGGTTACCAAGCAATGCCCAACCGTATGTGCGACCGAATGCGAGTTTGACAGTTGCCCATTGGTCTGCGTTTAAGTTGAATGAATGCGGAGTTATAATGCTGTTTGTAATGGCGCTAGTAGAGTGGAGAAAAGTTATTCAAAGTGGAGTCTGGTAGCAAGATAATATAACATTTCTGGAGCTCAAAATTAATTCCTTTGTACTTGACCTATATGAGTGCTCTCTTAGCCGCTTTCTTAAGAACTTTTATTTTGACGATGGATGACTTTAACTATTCAAACACTCCCACCGTTCCATATTGCCATAAGATGCAAGTTCATCAAACGGTCTGTTCATTATGGTTTCAAGGTCCTCAAGTGAGACATCTTCAAGAGCCAACTCTTTTGCATCAACTCAAGTGAATGGTACATTGATGTTGTCTGACTTGTCCTTCTCGTAAATCTTTTTGAAAAGTCTTATTACTTTTCTTCGCTTAATCTGATGTTCTCGTGGAATTGTATCTTTGGTATCTAGAAACGAACTTTCATCATAATATTTCAGTAAAGAGAATAGAAACTAGGTGGGAAAAGGACCAATCAATAGGATAGATATGTGAATCTCAAAGTTCAGTGTTTATAAATGAACAGGTATACCAATCATGGCTAGCACGCGAATTTGCTTTCCGCCCGAAGCTCGCCCTAGGTATGTACAACCATTGAAATCTTCAATATATACACAGGTATGTGGTCCGTGAATGAACAAAACGTAGTCGAATGTGCTTGTCAGCATATTGACAAGGACGCATTATGTCGAAAAGAGATAGTCATACGCAGGTCTGGAATAACATCCCGTTCCCCGACACTGCAAGTCAAACCAGTCGATTACCACAGACTCATTTGTCTGGATGTTATGCGTCACACCAGTAGCATTGGTTGCGTGGAACGTATCCCCGTAAATATAAGTCGTCCAAGTGCTATCAGGGTAATTCGAGAGTGTCTGAACAGGAGTGCTCGGAAGGCCTAGCACGGCAGTCCACTCCTTTATCTCCTCAGCCAAGTTCTGCGGATACAAAGTGGTATCAGCAGTTCCGTGAAAGACCTGCATCTTTGGCCGGAAACCAGTATAACTGGGATAAGCGGCCTTCACAATGGCCTCCCATTGCGCGCCGGATTTGATGATTGTGCCAGTGGCACAGTCATTGCTCCAGACATCATAGCCATTTCCAGCAAAACAACCAAACGCAACACCTGCCCATGCACTCCCGGCTGCAAAGACATCCGGGTAGGAGCCCAGAAGCACGTTCGTCATCATAGCGCCCGAGGATGTACCCATGGAGAACACACGGGTGGGATCCGCGTTGTAATTCTGCAACACATAGTTGACCATACTGACAATGCCTTGAGAATCCCCACCGCCATTGTGGGTAAGTGTTTGGTTTGAGGACACGTCCCAGCACTTGTCGGCGGTGTTTGGGGAGTCGGGGAAAATCATAATGTAGCCATAGGTGTCGGCCAGTGTTGCGAGCTGCGTGCCAGTGAAGGCATCCTGCGCTGAGCCATGGCACCAGTGTGGGTTGACTAGAATGGGGGGCTTTGCTTGGAGAGTCGAGGGGACGTATAGGTAGAACCCCACATTCGTAGGATTAGGACTGAATGAGGAGTCTGGGATTTGGGTGAGGTTATTTGCAGCCCCGTTAACAGCAGGGATACCCGAGAGAATTGCTAGAGTGAGGGTGAAGATACCCTCAAGGACATGGAGGGTTGAGTGAAGATTGAGCATTATGAGAAGACGAAATTTGTACTCAAGTGAAACACGAATTGAGAGAACAAACCTGGACAGACATTTCAATTATAATATACAGGTGTCGTAGCGTTCAGCCTATAACTTCACTGAAAATAAATTTCGCTGATCTACGTTCCGTTGGTCAGGATGGGGTAAGGGCAAAAAGGATGGAGGAATTATCCGTCATTTGATTGAACTTTGGCCAAGGCAGAACGCATTCGCTTAATTTAAAGAGGAAGAGGGGAAGCTCACATGACCGTCCCTTCCATAGTACCATTGTTGTAGCACTTTTATAGAATAACAGATTTCGGTCTCCGATTCTTTAATGGCAATCTGCTATAACATCCTTGGCAGTCGATGAGACATGCAATTAGCAAATCCTGTATTACATGACCAGTTTATATAAACAACACTCGTAACTGCTGCGAATATAAAGCAGTAATTGAGCTATAAACAGCTACTGTTTCTTTCCTTAACGCGTATAGTCAAGAGAGTAACAAAGATAGAGTTACTCGCCATAATATTTTCGGCGGTTCTACCTTAGTAATATGTAGATTGGCATAATGTTACAGTGGGGAAGTTGGCTGACTTGCAGGTATAGAATAGGAATCCAATGTGCGCTCATTACTTGATATTATCTTGCCACGCTCTATTCATTCATCCGTTTCGTTCCTATATGTGAGCGTCACTTGAGGTACCAGAATTTGAGTGAAACACTCTTGTATTCTAATTTTTGGTTCGTGACTACTATCAGCCATGATTTCATGTCTTCCATCATATCGTAATGCCATAACCCCATGTGTGAAGTTAGGCCAGCCCAGCTTCGACTTGCAAAATGCAATCTCAACTGGTCAGAGCAATTAAAAAAAAAAAAAACTCGTACAAAATTGACCAGGTTCGTGAGACCCGATGCTAAGATCATTCCAAGGCGAATACGCCCAATGTCAGAAAAGAAAGAGTATATTCGTACATGAAGAGGGAAATGTATGGTGATCTGGAAGAACCATATCTTTTCATCTTCCGTCAAAATCGATGCGCATCACATTTAGCGAACACGAGTCTCCTGGCGGCATTTTCCCTTGTCGCAAGAATTGTCGAACCAACCCAAGCGAACATCGTCCATCCACCAGATCTTAGGTTGAGAGGCAACAGTAACGTTCATACGGATCTTCGTCAGATCACTAAAGGTATCGTCCAGTGTGACTGGTGTAAGAACACAGTCGACAAGGGGGGGACAAGCTGGCACAGCGATATCTTGGGTGGTAAATGGAACATCCTTGCCGGTGGCAGAATCCTTGTGGAAACCGGTAAATGTGAACTCGCAGTCAGGTCCTCTCGAGTCACAGCCAAGTGCAGCACCGTAGAAGTTGAAGTCGAAGCACCCAGTAGTGCCACGATCACCACCTGCGAAATCTGCAGAGTATCCGAATTCCTTGGTATTAGGTCCGTGGGGTCCATTGACATCAGTGCCGCTAATGTTGAAATTTGGAACGAACTGGAGTAGCAGAGGGGCGGACTCTGGAAGATATGGGTCGGTTGGTGGTGGAACAACAAGGAAGCCGTTGGAGAAGTCGAATTTGTCGTAAGGGTTGAATAACGGCATGGGTTGGATAGTGTTTGGGTCAATTCCCTTGCCGACAGTAAGTGGAGGCAGGTCATCAAACTGAGAAAGTCAGCAAGCAATTCAAGGATGAGGATATAAATAAATACTTACGTTCAAGGTGAAATCACCAGTCAATCCGCATGAGGAGGTGTCAGTCGGAGCGGCAGAAGCAGCGGTGGAGGTTGCATTCGAAGTTTCATAAGCTGAACTTGAGATTTGACTAGTAGATTGGGCGGCCGAAGAAGCGACTGAGGAGGTACCATTCGAACTCTCAGAAACCGAACTTGGGACTTGGCTTGAAGATTGAGAGAGGGAAGAAACGATTGTGGAAGTGGCATTCAGAGTCGCAGAAGCTGAGCTTGAGAATGTGCTAGAAGAATGATAGACGGAATACGGAAGAATGACTGTGGTACTGCTCGAACCGGTTGTGGGGACAGCACCGACACTGCTCTCGGTGGAAACGCTTGAGGGGCCGCTGGTTGAGTTAGGTCCAATGGGCGCTGAGGTATATACCGTCGAAAAAGAAGCCGAGGTTGGAGATGCGTAAACACTAGAGGCTGAGCCGTTTGCTGTGGGGCTTGAACTTGAGATGGTCGAGTTGCCATAAGAAGCAGCAGCCGAGGAACCACCGTCTGTACTGCTTGGTTTGCTTGTGGTATAGGCCTCCACAGAGTGAGAGAATGAAGTATCTTGACCACCGTTAGCAGAAGCTGACGCATCGGCATCCGTTGAGGTGTAAACAGGGGTAACACTTGTAGGGGTTGCCTCGAATCCAGACTCGGCTGCCAAGCTGGTCAATTGGCTCACCGAGTGCGGCGAGTAAATGTCATAGCTGGAACTAGGAACGAAATTGAGTGATGATAGGCTGGTTACACCAAAACCAGACTGGGATGCGAGAATTGTTCCCACGGTCCCAGTAGCCCCAGAAGCAATCGATACAGTCGAAGATTTGTTCCATCCTCCAGGTCCAAAGTCAGTGAAAGTCAGGCTACTTCCAGCAGAGTACGTAGACTTAGCAGAAAAGGTGTCTGTCAAGGTGGTCTCCTCGCTTGTTGTGATAGTTGTGTGGGAATACACAGTGGTGGTTGGTTCGACAGAGCTTGAAGACACAACAATGCCAGGGGCGGTAGGGATAGACTCAACAGAGCTTGAAGGCACAACAGTGCTCGGAACGGTGTAGATGGGCTCGACGGTGATCGTTACAACGCCTGTCAAGTAAACTGTTGAGTCGGAGGAGTCTGGAGTTTGACCATCCAAGTACTGAGTTGTGCCATTCTGGACATAGTAGCTGATAACGCGTGGGGAAGACGAGGCCTGGCCATATGGGGCGGTAACAACAGTGTGCTCGGTGACCGTGACAACGATTGGAGAAGCAACGGCGGCGCCGTGATCGCTATCCGAAACAGGATTTGTGTGGGTCTCGGAAGCAGTTGTGGTTGTGTAGAAGGTGCTGATGGCCGTCAAAGTTCTTGTTGGGTTTGAGAGTTGGACGGTAGTGTGCTCGGTAATGTACACAGTGGAGATCGAGGACACATCGTGCACTGTAACGGTAGAGGTGGAGGGTGTAGCGGTCAAGAAGACGGTGCTGATACTAGGAGCGCAGGTATCGGCGGGGTCGAGACTTGAAGATATCAGCATTGATCAGATTGAGGCACGAGTCAACTTACTTGGGAGAAGGAGCTGCTGCTGCGACGGCAGCAAGACACCACACGCCGGCGAGGGTGTTCAAGGCTTGGCTGCGCATCTTGATGATGGATTGAATGTCAATGTCTATTTATCGTGATAGAACCAAAGTTGATTGTAAAGACCGTGGGGAAGAGGACCTCTGGAGGGGAGCAGTCGACGATGTTCTGGACGTCGCAACGGCTGAGGATCCCAAAAGAATGTATGCAGAGTAGAAGAAACAGTCAACGAGCGACGAAAAGGTTGGTTGAAAGGAAGGAAGTTGGAAGTTGAAAAATTGAATGTGTGGGAGGAAAAGTGGAAAATCTCCGTTTGCTTGCTTGTTGACGCGAGTACAGTAAACAGACAAAAATGGCCGATGAGCCGAGTCTTGCATTCACCCACCGCCCCTTATCCTTTCTATGAACACGCGGTGAAGAGGAAGCAGAATGAGCATAAGAGGAAGGTAATGGACCACTGCTTCAAAGATCGGACGTAGGACTGGATAATTTGTCGTTTGCCCCTTCCTTTCGTCATGGTGCACTTGACTTGTAGTCCAGAGCGTGGCACAGACTTGGCAGAACAATCTACGAAAGGGCGATCGATAGAAGGAAATTTAGAAAGCGAGGGAAGACAATTAATACTTCCATTTCTGTTCCTTTGCTGCCACCTCTCTTTTATTATCAATCGCGTTGATGGCTCGTAGCTATTCCGCCCCCCCGAGAGAAATGATAGAGGCAGAAAGACGGCTTCCTTCCCTTGAATGCTACCTGCATGCTCTACAAACCAGCCGGGGACTTGCATGAAAAAGAAGTGTTGTCCTCCCGTCAAGTCGGCGTTTCATCCCAAGACAGGTACCCGGCCGTGGAAATTTGACAGTTCAACGGCATGGGACGAGAGAGCTCATGTGGCATTTGTTGAGATTAGAGCCCATATACTTCGCAGGACATCTTCTGACCATGCATTTGAGCATGGCGTGGCATGGCGTGGCATGGCATAGCATGGCATGTAAGTTGAATGCTAGTCCCATATGCACTTTCCCGTTATCCGTGTACATCAACTTGGCATGAGCAAGGTGCGTACAGCTTCCATTAGGATTCTGTTGATCGGACGGTGGTTCAAGTATTTAGAACTCACATCGTGTAGCTATAGCCCTACCAAGGACAACTTGGCTGTCCAACGTTAGCAAAAGCAGCGTGGGTCTTGCAATGAAACGGTAGTACGACAGTGTGATAATCCCACGTTACTCACCCACACAAGGGCAATCTCCATGTGCTTCCAAGCTATAGGAAATTATACCAGTACCACGGAAGATCAAGAAAGGAGCAGCGCTCGATCAACGGCTATTCAAGGCCCTTCGCACACCATCGTTGGAGAAAGTATGAATGACTGATCGCATTCGATTCGAAAAATGAAATTTGTTACTGAGATTCAAGACTGGAATGGAAACCTGGCCTCAACACACGACTGTCACGATGCTTCAATGGCACGCGTCGAGGATTAGGCTACAGGATTCCGAGATGACCACGAACAGCAGGCAACGTAGAGAAGCATGTACTCGTATTCAGGAAAACACAGTTCATCAAGATCTTCAAAAGTGATGGCCAATATGAGGACTAAGATGAAGCTGCTTCCATTCCACAGAAGGAGAAACAAACATGTTTCACTGAAGTTAAAGTGTCGTCAAAATATAGTGAGATCCACATTGCTTGCCTCCCCAGGAAAGTGGCGCTCCAGGGCAGATTAGGTTACAATGTGGCTAGAGCATCCGCAAGCAACCCTGAAAATCATCTGAGCTCGATCAGTGACGCCATCGCCTTATCACCTTAACATCAACAGCTTCATTTCCTCTGAACCTATCACACTCTCTTCACCCTCGAAAATGCCATCTTCAACGAATGCAACAAATACAAACAATCCCACCAACCGCACCACCACCCTCCAACCACTCCGTCGTATCGTCTCTGCATCCTACCTCTACCCCTTCAAAGGAATCTACTTCTTCCTCACCCACCGCGATTTCTACCCACTCTTCGGCCGCCGTCTCATCCCCCTAACCATAACCTCAATCGTCGTCCTAGGCCTCCTCTTCACCTTCACATATCTCCCACAAGCCGCTTTTCTGTTGATATTCCACGGCCCTACTGCCTGGGTCAATGCCGCGTTCTTGGTGCTCGGCGAGGCGCAGGTGGTGATTGCGTTGCTGTTCGAGGCTTTGTTGGTTGATGAGACGTTGGTGGATGTTTTTGATGTTGGTTTTCTTCCTCTCCTCCCTTTCCAACCCCTCGCAAGTTCAAGTGCAAGTTCACATTTACCCAAGGTACATATGCTAACAACATCTCTGTAAACAGGCAACACTGATCCACAACCACCTCACCCACCTCATATCCCCCACCCGCATCCTCCACCTAGACACAACCCCGCTATCCCCACCCCGCAGCCCCGTGAATTCCCTCGGCCCCCCTACAACCTCCTGCATCTACTCCCCCTTCTCCCTAACCCTCCTCCTCCAATTCATCATCCTCCTCCCCTAAACCTCATCCCCATCATCGGGACCCCCGCCTTCATCATCCTCACAGGCGCCAAAGCTGGTCCCCTACACCACTACCGGTATTTCAAGCTTCTGGGATTGAACAAGAAGGAGCGAAAGGCGGAGGTTCGGCGCAGGAGGTTGCGGTATACTTGGTTTGGCAGTGTGGCGTTGGTGTTGCAGTTGGTGCCGGTGTTGTCCATGTTTTTTCTGCTTACGACGGCTTGTGGGTCTGCGCTTTGGGTTGTGGAGTTGGAGGGGAGGAAGAGGGAGAGCGAGAGGATGGGCGGGGAAGTGCGAGTAGGGGACCACCCGGACGAAATTGGGGATGAAGAGGTGCCACCACCGCCTTATACCGATGATCCTGTCTAGATGGATGGCCTGTGAGAATTAATGTGCTTTTCACCCTTAGATCTCGAGTCGTATGAGGCTTTAGCGATAAAACATAGATGTTATAATTACTATAAAATATCTTCAAACCTCTTATTTCCCTATAGTATAGCTATGATTTCCTTATACTCTTGAGAAAATCTACTAAACATGTTTTTATACCAGTAGTTTGAATAGTACGATTTACATGGTAAACTAGAAGGGTAAGCCTTGATCGCATCATTTCGTATAAAGCTACAAAATATAGGAAGGATGTAAGGATACTGGTTATTTCGATCCTTATTAATCGAATGTCTCTATAGCTAGTAATTACAATAGAAGTCTACGCCGAGCACACTCTTAAGCCTGGCTGATAGACGCGTGTCGGCAGCAGGTTCGGAATCCCTGACGGACCTGGCATCCGCATCCGCAACTACATCTGCAGCATCGCATCGCTATCCGGAAGTCCCGATACCATCGAAGCAGCGCGATCCACACTCATATCTCCTCTAGTACGTAACCCGCAACCCGTAACCCGTAACCCGTAACCCGTAACCCGTCTGGCTTTAGATTTGCATTGTATGTTGTAAAAGCGGAACAAGTATTATATATCGGATAAGTAAAGTTTCTTTAGGAGTATTAAGTTTAGTTGTTTAGATATAGGCGCGAGGGGAAGAAAAGAAAGGAAAGGAAAGGAAAGGAAAGGAAGAGAAGGGAATCCTTATGATATTCAATCAGGTAACTACTGCTTGTTTGTTCCGCAACACGACATGTTCATATCGATTTAGTTGAATGAGATGTTAATGGAAAGTGCTAGATGAAATTTTGAAATGAGATGAGATGAGATGAGCTGTACTTTTTGACTAAGGTCAAGTCGTGAACAACTACGAACTTATCATCCACTTGACTAAAAATTAAGTGAAAGTTATTCGCCCCGGCCTAATGAATGCCGAGACGATTCAAGAGGATTCAATGCACGAACGGAAAGTGACGAATGTCGAATAGAAATGCAATAGAGATGGCAAAACAAAACAAAACTGGTATTCGCGAATTATGTACCCTGCCCGACCATACAGATCCGTGACGCCGCCCAGAATTTTACCATCTAATACAGCCCATCCTGATACCCCGCCATATATACGCCGTGAGTAATTCTTGTACAATGCCCTTCGCGTCAACCTCATATTCTCCCAACACCTAACCGGTCCAACTCCTCATCACTAACCATGTGCCCTATACTGCTCATTGAACTCACAGTCTTCTGACTAGCATTTCGCGTGAGGTTCTGCTGCAATTTACTTGAAGGCGGCGGCGCATACATACGCACAGGATGACGATTCCCCAATATAGGACTCTCGCGTTGGAACTCCGAGCTTAAAATACGGTCTGGTTTGAGGAGGTTGGGTTCTGGCGTCGTCATTCCCTGTCGGATCAGATGACCCAGGGAACTTTGGCTTATCAGTGGTTGACCCGGTGATGGCGATGCGACGGGGATGTTCTGGTAATCTCTTTCTATATCGCGGTCCTGAGATCGGGTTGGTAAGCTCAGGGGCATGGGCTCAACTGGGAAGCTGGGATATGGTTGCTCTGCTGGTGATCGGATGCTCTCATTGTCGACTGGAAAGCCCATCGTGTCTCTCGTAGTTTGTGGGGTTAAAAACATTGGGACGCTGATACCAGGTGGGGCATCAAAGGATTCTTCGGCTGTTTGGGGCGAAATGTTGAATGTTGTGGCTGTAGGGCGGAGGCCATGGGGGCTAATGGGGGAGACAATGTTATTTTGGTGTTCTGTGTCTATACGACCTAGTGATTCTCGGCTAGCTGTTGGAGTGTTCTCCCCGTACATTTGAAGGAAGTGTTCTGATTCGAAGTGGCTATCCCTTTGGCCGGGTAAAGCGTAGGGGCTTGTCTGTCCGCCGTGCCATTCTCCAGGTACCGAAGATGGACTCCTTTCTTCGATATGTCTATCCTGTAAGTACGGACTTGTCGATCCGCCTTGGCTTGGTGGAGGATACGGAATTGCCTCTGAGCCGTGTCTCTCTAACGAGTATGGGCTCAATTCTCCCCCTCTCATATCAGCGCGCGAGTAAGGACTTGTACCGGGCGTAGAGAGTGGCAGTGGTAGTAGGCTAGAATTGCTATCGTGGTGGCCTTGAATGGGTGAGTGTGTGAAAGGAACACCGCTGAATGCTGAGTTCACTCCTGCGTAGCTTGTCCTTTCGGCCGTCGAACGTTTCTCTTGCATGTCCAGGGCCTTCCTCTTCTTCTTCCTTCCTCGGAGACATAATGCCAACAAAACTGCAAGCAAAGAAAGGACTGCGACTCCACCAACTGTTCCACCAATTATTGGTCCAACGGGGATTTTGTTTGATGCCTTCGCGGTGCTTGTCGGCGTCGATGATGCAGAGCTCGAGGTGGTAGAGGTAGGTTGGTTACTTGGATAAGCGGTCGAGGTGACATATGTTGTAGCAGTAACAGGTTTAGAGGTCGCAACGGTGAGCTGGTTGGGAGATCCTTGTTGTTGGCCACCTCCTCCACCTCCTCCCCCACCTTGTCTTCTTTGGTTCATCTTGACTGTCGTTTATACGCAGACGAGAGCAATTGACCTTCTTCCTGGTTATAATAACAGGGTAGACGAAGGATTGCGAGCAGTATACAGGTAACAACAGAAATCGGAAAACAAGAACAAAAAAAAAAAAGGAAATAGAAAGAGAGTGGGAGATGAGCAAAGACATGCAACAAGACGAACAACACGAATCCAGATGGAGAATGATTGCGTAGTCGGCGCATGGAGGCGGCATTGAGGCTCTCCAGCCAGACTCCAGGCTCTCTAGGGCTGGGTCACCTCAGCCACGACGAGTTTCGGGTAAGGATTTAGGGATGGGGATCAAACTGGCAGACGAGATGTGGGATAATTTTTTCCATTTTCCGCGCGTTCTATTGCATTGACACGCGGTTACCCTGGTGGGGTTTGGCAGAATGCGGATATTCATGCCGATGTTGGCTCCACGTCCGCTTGGTAGACAACTTGGAAGAAACATCTCGACTCGAACCAACTCGAATCTTGCAAACTTTTGAAAGTCGAGAGGCCGAGATGTGTGTGTGTGAGTGGCATCATTCGGGTTGGTGGCGGGTCGTTTGTATGAAAGGATTTGTTGTGATACAATAAGGGGAATCCTTTTCAATCCCCGGAAATAGGTACTGGACTGTAACCAAGAGGGGTTAGCGGCGCGATGCCACGCGGTGGCTGGTTAGAGAATGGAAAATGGACCCTAACCCGTTGCCATAAATAATGAGGAGAAAGAAGGAAGAGGATGGGGGAACGGGGAGAGAAAGACATCCACTCGTACGACTATAAGTGAAAGTGAGATGTGATGATGGATGTGGATGGTATGAATTAATAATAATACTTTGAGAGGAGAAGCAGCTTCCCCTTTGGTAAGGTAGAGGTAGAGTAGAGTCGCATAGTGTCAGAGTCACGGGAATATCACGAGACTTCCGAGCCCCACCTCCATTGACCCCACGTTAGACTGACCAATCAGCAACTCACATCCTTTCTTTATGCAGTAGACAGCGGCTGAAGTTCGTAGGGCAGATGGTGAGACCGCACGGCCAGCCAGCACTGCTCATACTGTACTGTACTGTACTGTACTGCACGGCCATATCGTTCGTCTAGATTATTTTTGCAGGATCATCTTCATCTTCATCTTCCTTCCAACAGACAGAAAGTTTCTATCCTGTGCAACTCG